ATCAGGCGCCCCCTCAATTTTTTTTAAGTAGGCTCCACCCCCAGCATCAAGCCCAACAAGGGGTTTGAACTCACCACCCTGAAATCAAGACCTGAGTTGATGTCAAGTCAGATGCTTAACCAACTGAGCCACCAGGCAGCCTCTACCACCCCATGATATATTTTTAAATGATTTCCAGTATCCTAGACAGTTGTAATAAAGACTTAAAAGTATATTTTCCTGTTAAGTCTGCTTTTCATCATCAGTGGTCCCCATTACTGTGGGAAAGAGTGTGACCAAAAGTTAGTGAGCACTGATTTTGCTTTTCCTAATTATTTTTTCAGCTTATCAGGTAAAATCACTCCTGTACCAACATGAGCTACCTTGATATTGCATCATCTTTCTCCTTCCTTCTATTATCTTCTCATTGCTTAACCTCTTTGTTTTATAATGAGCACTTAAGATATGTCAGGCTCTGTTCTAAGTATCTTACCTGTGCTAGTTTATTTATTAATCCTCCTCACAGTAATCTTACCATGATAAATACAGTCATTATCACAAAGCAGTGAAGTCCCTTGGTCGGGTGGTAGACCTGGGATTTTAACTCAGGTAGTCTTACTCCAGACTCTGGGCTCTTTCCACTAAGGAAACCTTCAAATATTGATTATATCTCCTAACACTTTCTCTGTTAGACTCCTGAATATGTTGTATCTTTCAGGTCTTTCTGTAGAATTTGGAACAATTCTAATTTACACATGTGAGAAGAGTTGCTGGCCTCAAAATCATCAGACTCCCATGGAAGAACTTTGTATTATACAAGAAGACCCAGATGAATCATTATTTAAGTAGTGTTTCCTTTTATTTATATAAATTAAAACAAATTTTAATGTCTGGATTTGTGTATTTTTCCTTCATTTTGACCCACAGATTATTAACTGTTTAAGTGCTGTCCTTTTTGCTGTATGGCACCTGTGCTGCGGCTACAGCAAGATTTAGAACCTTCTGGCTGTGAGCTGGGCTCTCCTCCCAGGGTCAGTTGCTTATCTCCACAGTGACTGCTCCAAGCGTGGCTCCTCTCCAGCCCAGAGGTCAGGTGTTCCCTGCACAGGCAGCCTAGTCGGCTTTGTAGGAGGGAGAGCAGCTGAAGAGCCAGGGGCAGCTGTCAGCCTCTTCCCACTGCGCTCTGTTGCAGTCCCTGCATGCTGATCAAATCACACGACTCTCCCCAGTTTCTTAAGGCTCCTACCCGGTGACACTTACTGTTTAGATCAGCCTGGTGTCCTCCCCACCCTCACCCTGTCCTACCTTCTGCCCCTGCAGCTTCACAGCAAAGGAGTCCTTTCTCTATTCGGATTATTGTCCCTCCTTTCAGATGTTCACTTTTCCAGTCTCCTTTCTCCTTTTAGTTTTTACGTCAACTCCTCCATTCTGCTACTTTGACAGCGGTATGAAGACATGCCCACCGACTGTGTACAGACTTGCTATTTGCCTGCAGAGATGAGGAAACTGGTATAAACAATTTGAATTGCTACTTCTGGCAAATAACACATTAGGTCCAGATTATCAGGACGTGGGGTTCTCCTGGGCAGTGTATGACTGGTGGGAACGCCACCTGGTCCTGCCTCCCAGGGCACCTGGAGGAAAGTGGCTGGCTGGGTTCAAACTGAACTTGCTGGCAGTGAGGCTTTCAGCACATAGGAGAAGAGGAATAATTTTCTCTTTACCCTTCTAGGTACTTACTGAGAATCTGTAAGAAAAGACAGATTGGGATCCCTGGGTGGCGCAGCGGTTTGGCGCCTGCCTTTGGCCCAGGGCGCGATCCTGGAGACCCAGGATTGAATCCCACATCGGGCTTCCGGTGCATGGAGCCTGCTTCTCCCTCTGCCTGTGTCTCTGCCTCTCTCTCTCTCTGTGACTATCATAAATAAATAAAAATTAAAAAAAAAAAAAGACAGTGTGCCAGAACCCCGTCTTCAAAAAAAAAAAAAAAAAAAAGATTGACAGAAGAAAAAGAGAAGTATATGTACACCTCCTATATAGATGGGAGATACCCAGCAAAACCGAGTACCTTCTCAAAATGGCCCAAGCTATTACATCACATACCACCTTCAGCTAAAGACAAAAGAGAGATGTGGGGTGCACAGACCGGTCACAAGAAGTTATCAGGCAACACATAGCAAACAAGGGTAGCGTTGTTAAATATTGTCAGGGAAAGAAGATAATGAGAAATTAAGTCCCACATGAACCCATTCAAATGTAAAACTGCGGGGGTGCCTGCCTGGCTCAGTCAGAAGAGCTCTTGAGTTCTAGCCCCACGTTGGGTATAGAGATTACTTAAATAAAACCAAAGGAATTGAATGCATGCATGAATGAATGAAAAACTGCATGTTTTTACTTAGGAGACATAGATCAAGAAAGAGGTGTGTGTGTGTGCGGGGGGGGGATATGCACCTGAGTGGCTCAGCCAGAAGAGTATGTGAGTCTTTATCTCATCTTGGGGTTGAGTTTGAACCCCACACAAGGTGTAGTGATTACTTTAAAAAAAAAAAAAAAAAGACAAAGGCCATCAAGAGCCCTGAGGAGTGGGATTAGGCATGGGTGGGCCTTTTGAGCTTTCACTTCCAGCACTTGCATCCTATTTGAATTTGTTAAGGCATGCAGGAATTTTACACTTTATACTCACACACACAAATCCACAAAGAAAAAGCAAAAGCCCTCAAAATTAGGTAACTGCCCAGCCTGGCCTAGGGGAAAAGAAGCGAGGCAGAGAAGCCAAGGAAAGGTGGTTCCCATTCACTGAGTGTCTAGAGGGATAAGTAAGATCAGCATCCTGGGAAGGGTCTTCTTTAGATTTAACTGCCACGATGGGGATCTTTGTAAAAGCTAACCCTGTGTAGGGAAGCAACATCCGCAGCCCACTTGCAGGGGTGCCTCCCGTGCACTTCCTGCATTCCTGCAAGGACCAGACCAATTTGGCTTGTGGGTGGTGAGCCATGCAGCTGATGAGAAAGACCACAGAAGTCTAAAAGCATTTTCCTGTTTTCTCTTTACCTTTTCCAATAATTTTTTCTTACTGAATATATTTTATATATATAACATTGTGTAAGTGTACAGTGTGCAATGTGTTAACTTCATACATATTGTGAGATGATTGCTGTTGTAGCACTATTTAGCATGTTAAAAAAACAAAGTTCAACTGAGTGTAAAGATCTAACTGGCTTTAGTCAATGATTCATGAGTCTGACAGCATCCCGTCTAGCAAGTAGAAAGTTCTGAGTTGTTCAAAATAGAAGTGTTTATAGGCAGAAGGATGGTGGGACAGGAAGTTACTTAACCTTCCTATGAGGGTCTTATCAGCCAGATGAAATCACTAGAGCTGATGGACTGATTGGTTTAAAATTCCACTCCTAGGAAAGGCCAAAATTGCAATTAGGTTAGGTATTATCTCTTGGTTTGCTCGTTTGGGGCTTAGCACAAGTGACTCCATTTTTAGACTTTTCTTTTTTAGAGGTACCTCTATCACATTACATAATTATCTTTCTCTTTAGTATTTGAGATAATTTTTTTTTAATTTTAGAAGTAACATTTTCTTTGAGGAGCATGAGCATCTGGAAATACAAAAAAGCCTACAGAAGAAATAAAATTATCCACAATTCAACCGCACACAGATACAGAAAAATGTTAACTGACTTTCTAACTGCTTTTTAATATATTTTTGTTTTTACAAAATTTAATCATATAAAGTTTTGTATCTTTTAAAATTATATTGCATTATGTTGTGATGATTTTTGAATATTTCCAAATTAAAAAAAAGACAAGCCCAAAATTGGGTTGGTTAGGCTAAGTCTCACATCACCAAGCAGACTTAATTACAGTTTCAGGCTCTCCCAGAAATGGAATCTTAAACCAGTCAATCAGGAATCGCCTGATCAGGGGCACCTGGCTGCCTCAGTCAGAAGATTGCGTGACTCTTGGTCTCAGGGTTGTTGAGTTTGAGCCCCACATTGTGTGTAGAGATTATGTAAATAAATATATATTTAAAATTTTTAAAAGTTAGGTAATTACCTGATGATAGAAGGAAAGTAACCTTGCAGTAACAGACCCCATACTTGTAGGACTTCCTTGCTCCTTCTCCCTTGCAGCCATGAAAGTCTTTGTACCGCTCCTCAGGGCTCTTTTTTGTCTCCTAGGTTGAATGGTGCTCAATTGGAATTGAGGTTTGCTCCAATAAACACATTTTAAAAATATGCCTCAGTTTATATTTTAACAACCTCTAGGAAAGCTTTGCTTTAGAATCCTTATCTATGGGCAACCTGGGTGGCTCAGTGGTTTGGTGCTGCCTTCAGCTGGGGCATGATCCTGGAGACTCGGGATCGAGTCCCACCTCCGGCTGCCTGCATGGAGCCTGCTTCTCCCTCTGCCTGTTACACTCTCACGGATAAATAAAAATCTTGGAAAAAAAAAAAAAAAGAATCCTTACCTATAGCTACGGGAGTGCTTGTTTTCCTATCCTTTGCCCACACGGAATGCCACACTTTTTCTTTTGCTGGATTCACAGGTGAAAAGGACTTAAGCACGGTTTTACAATTCTCTGATTACACACTGTAATGTTTATTGGTCATATGCATTTCCTTTGCGAGTGCCTGTTCACACCCCTGGCCTGTATTCCTTGTTGGGGGGGGTGACATCTGCTCTCTTGTTAATTTGCAAGAACTCTTTACATACAGCGGCATCTATTTTCAAACGCGCACGGGAGCCTCGGCTGGGAGTGCAACCCCCCCAGGCTTACAAAGCCGGCCGCTGGGGTTCCCAAGGCCGGACGGCGGCTCCCGGCTCCTGGCGCGGCGGCGACCACCACCACCAGGCCGGGGTCCGACGCGGCCGCGAGCGGGCTTCGCGCCGAGCGCATCCTGCACGCGGCAGGGCCTCCCCGCGCGGCCCGGGCGTCGCCCGCTCGGCGCCAACGGCGGCCGCAGTGCGCAGGAACGGAAGTCGGGCCGCCCTTCCCCCACCTGCTTCCGGCCGCCGCTCAGTTCTCGCGCCTCCGCCTCCGCCTCCGCCGCGGCTCGTGGTCGTCCCGCCATGGCACTGTCGCGGGGGCTGCCCCGGGAGCTGGCCGAGGCCGTGGCCGGGGGCCGGGTGCTGGTGGTGGGCGCGGGCGGCATCGGCTGCGAGCTCCTCAAGAACCTCGTGCTCACCGGCTTCTCTCACATCGACCTGGTGAGGGCCCGGCGTGCGCGCGGGCTGAATGGCGGGCCGGCCTGCGGGGGGCCGGGGCGCGGGGGGCGGGCGGCGGGGCGGCGGCGGCGGGCCCGCAGGCCCCGGGGTCGGGGCCGCCCGCGGGGCCGCGCGGGACGCCGGGAGGCCGCGGGCCGGGGTCCTCCGGGCGCCCCCTCCGTCTCCCCTTCCCCCCGGGGGCCGCGGCGGCGCTGGGCTGGGGGAGCGGCCTCGCGTGCCCGGCTCCCGCGGGAGGCGATGGTGCGCGTGTCGTGGGGGTCGTGACCGTTGGTGTCGGCGGTCACGGGAGCCGGTGGCTGCTGAGCGCTCGTCCCGAGCCCCACGCAGTTCTGAGCGGTTAACTTGCCTTAATGCATCTTCTCTTCGCTGCCCCCGTAAGGTTGCAAACGCCATTTTCATCCCCCACCCCCCCCGCCGCTTTAAAAAAAAAAAAAAAGAAGAAGAAGAAGAAGAAGAAAAGTGAGCTCTAGGAGCATTTTTTTTTTTTAGTAACTTAGCGAAGCAAGTGGCAGGACTGCTCTGGCACCGGCGCTCCTCTGCTGTGGGTATAATCCGCGTGACTGTCCCTGTTATCTCCGTAGATAGCCCTAGACATCCCCCAAGACGTTGGTGAGGATTGTGACTCTTGGCACTCCTGTCCAGTGACTGTAATCTTAAATACTATTAAATGTAAAACTTTTTTTTTTTTAAGAAATTGGAGGTGTTAACGAGGAGGCTGGATGTGAGTTTAAGTCGTCTTGAAGGTGTAGTGGAAATACGGAATGGGGGAAAAAAAATAGAAGTGGCAGACTGAACTAAGAAATGATTTGGGGGGGGGGGGGGCCCGGCTGGAGAATTTACACATTTTTCCTTTGGCTGTTAGAAGGGTAGCCTGCCTTCCCATCCGGTTCTGGACCTCAGATCCAGATGGGATTTGTGCCCGGAGCTGGTAACTGCTGCTACACGTTTAAAAAGAACCGTTTTTGTAATAGGACAGTAGACTGGGCGCCTGAAAAAGAAACGCTGATTTCTTTTTTTTTTTAAATTTGATTTAATTTTTGTAATAAACGTGGAAAGTGCAGGTAGAAAATGTTTAGGTGGTTATATAGTGATTTTTTTTTTCCAGAAATTATAACCTAAACTGTTAAAATGTTTCATGATAACGTTTTGGTTAGTCTATATTTTGGAGTGGAATGAAGTCTTTAGTCGTTTTCTTCCATTATGTTTGTTAATTGATGAGAGAGAGAGAGGCAGAGACACAGGCAGAGGGAGAGGCAGGCTCCAATGCAGGGAGCCTAATATGGGATTTGATCCCAGGTCTCCAGGATCAGGCCCTGGGCGGAAGGGAGGCGCTCAATCGCTGAGCCACCCAGGAATCCCCCGTTATGTTTATTTTTAAGCAGCAGTTAGTAATAGTTAAAAGGTGACACTACTTCTTTAACCTTGTGTAGACATTTCCTTTCGCAGTCCTTAGGTAATGATTATAATAAATGGAGTTGTGCGTGAATGAAGACTTGAACTAAAGCAGCAAAAATTCAGTAAATCTGCCAAGTATCATTTAAGAAAAACAAGTCAGATTAATATATTGGGTTTGATAGTAATTAGATTGATAGATAAATGAGTTATATATTTATTTTCAATAGACACATAATTTTATGCCATGTAAGGAATTTCCAAACATACTTGCCAGGATGATTAAACAAACAAACAAAAAATGCATCCTTTCTAAAATATTTCTGAGAAAAATATCTCTGAAATTAAATCCTGACTTTTTTTTATTTATTTTTATTTTTTTAAGATTTTATTCATTTACTCATGAGAGACACAGAGGCAGAGACACAGTCAGAGGGAAAAATAGGCTCTATGCAGGGAGCCCGACGTGGGACTCGATCCCAGCACCCGGGATCAAGCCCTGGGCCGAAGACGGCGCTAAACCGCAGAGCCACCTGGGCTGCCGTTGACTTTTTTTTAAAATTAAGTCCCGAGTCCTTTTTTTTTTTTTAATGTGTTAAATTATTTTTATCAGTTTGACAATTTTGGTATTGCTGGTTGAAAGTGAAAAGCATTTTTTTTTGCTGATGTGACGAAGAGCAAGAGTTTGGGTTATGAATGCTGAAGATAGTAGTATTGCTCAAACATACTAGAAAATTTGTGATTTATCTGGAGTTTATGCACTTGTAGATTGATCTGGATACTATCGATGTCAGCAACCTCAACAGGCAATTTTTGTTTCAAAAGAAACATGTTGGAAGATCAAAGGCCCAGGTAACTTTATTTTTCTTATACTTTTTGTCTTTATTCATTAATATTTGTGCACTTCGGTGTATCTTCTCTTTATGGTATCAGGTTAATTGGGACTCTTCAGTAGGAGGAAGAATTGGGGGAAGCTGCCTCTTTTTACTTCAGAGATTGTGAAGAATAGAAAGATGTGGAATAAAGTACTAAAGACTACATCCTCCTGTTGTAGGGTGTTGAGGAAATAGATGTGCTCTACCTGGTCCTGTAAATGGTATTCCCTTCATATTTAGATTTCGCATCGTTTGCTTAGGGTGAGCTTTGTTCCAATGTTTCCTAGAGGTTGACTGCTCCTGTATTTGGGGGCAAGAGAAGCGACAGCCTCTACTCCTGTCTCTTGTAGAAAAAGAGCCTTCCCTGAGGTTCTAGCCACCTTGGCTTTTCCTTAGTGCCTTGAATGTTCCATCTTGAATCAGGGTCTTAAAAAACATCTTTTTACTTTGCTTTTCTCCCAACCCTTTTGGCAAACTCCCACTCTGTTCTCTTTTTTAGTTTCCAAAATTTGGCTTCCTTCTCTAGAGATACACTCCAAATAAACCTTCTAGACTAAGTCAGACCTTCCTCTTATACAATTTCTACTTTTTTTTTTTTAAGATATTTTTATTTATTTAAGTAATCTCTACACAACGTGGGGCCGAAACTCAGAACCCCGAGATCAAGAGTAGCCCGCTCTTCTGACTGAGCCAGCCAGGCGCCCTACAGCTTCTCCTTTTTCTCTATCATTTATCATAGTTCATAGTTCTGTTTATCTACACTAATTAGCGTTACTTTGGTTTACTAAGTGCTTCATACAGATGCTGGCACAAAGAAGATACTCAGTAAATGTTTATTGAATGAATAAATGACACTTAGTTACTGCATTTTATATTCTTGTTGACGCTTGCTATTCATGTAGATGTGTATAAGGGAAGGAGCCAGCTCTCCTTTTATTTTATAAATATATATCATTTTAATCATTGAAATGCACATTTTTATATTTCTTTAGTTTTTAATACAAATAAGATATGTAAGTAGGTGAAACAGTTTGTCATCCATAAATAAACTTGAAATACAGAGAATTGTAGCAATTGAGTAAATTAGTAATTTAGTGTTGTTTGTTTTTCCAGGTTGCCAAAGAAAGTGTACTGCAGTTTTACCCGAAAGCTAATATCATAGCCTATCATGACAGCATCATGAAGTATGTTCTAATTATTATGTTGCAAAACTGTTGTTTTGTGAATTAAACTTTGAAAGTATAAGGTATTTTTGTTAACTTGATCCAGGAGTTTGAAGTCCTTCTGCTTTTAAAAATGATTTTTCTATCCTAATTATAGAGAACAAACTGCTGGTTATCAGGGGAGGTGGATGGGGATGGATTAAATAAGTGATGGGGATTAAGGAGGGCACTGTGATGAGCCCCAAGTGTTGTGTTGTATGTAAGTGTTGTCACTAAATAATATACTGTATGTTAACTAACTGGTATTTAAATAAAAACATAAATTTTTTTTCTAGATAAAATGTCATAGCTTGTACCCACATAATAAGTAGAGTTTTTATAAATAGTTTATATAACGGATTTAAATGAGTTAGAGACAAAATATTTTAATATTTTAAATAAGTTACTGAAACTTACACAGGGCCTTATGTTTTTGTTTTAAATAAAGATACACTAAACTATGAAAAATCCTTATATGTGATAATTCAGACTTCTAAATATATCGCTCTCATTCTGATTGATTGCATCTGTGGTCTTTTTCAGTTTAAACGATTCCTTCCCAATATAATTTGTTTGGACTATGACGTCTGTACTATAACACTAGAAATTGTGATGGGGGCCATATATAAATACGCTCTGATCTCAGTAAAGATAGAGTAAATACATAATTTTGGAAGTGTTGGGACAAAGGAACCCTGGGTCTGAATTGTCCTTTATAGTTGTTGTCTAGCTTACAAGTAAGTGGTATTAAAAATAGTAACTTCTTGTTTGAGGTCTGCAATTAGAGTCTTTTACTTTCTCAGGAAATTTGTATCTCCAGTTTCTCTTTTATTCTCTGGATGTTTGCTCTGCAAACCTTCCTGTAGCTCTGTAACCCCTTTGCCCTGTGTTGCTTTCCCAGTGCTTCTAAAAGCAGGGACCCTAGAGGCCTGAACCCTGCCTGATCCTAACCATGTGAGGTGAAGTCAGAGGCCAGGCAGATCCTGGGAATGTGTTCTTTATATGTTCCCAGGCTGCCTGGCGAAGGCCTGGTGGGACTGGTGAAGTCATGCCATCTTTCTGCCAGTTTGAGATCCTGCTCTTAGGCCCTAGATTGCTGGCTAGAAAGGATGCCTAGTCACAGGGAGTAAGGGGAAATTATTTCTTTGAAGTCTGCTATGGTGTTTGGAAAAAGTCCAACCTATTATACCCCTAGTATCAATTATTTTTGCACTGTTATTTTAATATGCTTTTTAGGATACTGTATTCTGTGAAGATCAGGTGTAAGGCCAGTTGTTTTAGTGACATTGTTTTGTTTTGTTTTATTTTGTAGCCCTGACTATAATGTGGAATTTTTTCGACAATTTATATTGGTTATGAATGCTTTAGATAACAGAGGTGAGATTATTTTAATACATTTAATTTCTAAGTATTTCCCTTCCTCCAAAACAAGGCTGTTTCCACTTGTAGCGTTTAAAGTATTTCCTAATGAGTTTCATGTAGAGGGAAGTAAGGTTAGCTTTAAAATTTACCAGTTGATTGTAATTTTAACTAGAACTGGTTTCAGGCAGGAATTTAGCTATCATTTACTCTGCTTGTTCTACCAAAAGGTGTGAATATAGAAGTTGTTAAAATCACTAAAAAGAGGGTGACTACATATGGTATGTGGGTGTGTGCTTGTTTCAGAGTATCCCATCACTTAAGCCGTGTGACTTCCTTCATTTACATGGCGATCTAAGAAATATCAGTGCCTACATCTCATCTCAAAACCAGTTAAGTCAGTCTCTGAATGGGGCCTGAACATCTTTTTTTCCCAAGATTCCTACATAATGCTAAAGTGCAATCAGGGCTGTAAAACCACTGTTTTGAGATTGAGGCAACAGGATGTCAAAGTTCTTGTAGATGCCATGGATCTTGAATTATTTTAGGTATAGCTGGTGTGCCAGGATAACAGACTGGACTCTGTTTAGACGTACACATTATTAGACCAGTTAAGCTTTTCACAAATAGTGGGTGATGTTTCTTAAAATCAAGTGTTTTATAGTCAGGCATTGTTCTGCATGGGAAACGTCTGTGGAGTGATTTGTAACAATTTTGAGCCAGAAATACCAAAGAATAAACACAAAGTAGCATGAGGGAGAGTCAGAGTTACCTTTTTTTACCTTTTTTTTTTTTTTTTTTAAGTTTTATTTATTTACTTGAGAGAGTAAGTGAGTGGGAGCAGTGGCAGAGAGAATCTCAAGCTGACCCTGAGCAAGGAGAACCCTGAGCGTGGAGCTGACATACAGGCCAGATACCAAGACCCTGAGATTGTGACCTGAGCCAAAACCAAGAGTGGGGTACTCAACTGACTGAGCCACCCACACCTCCCAGAATGACTTTTAACTAGACTCCTTTTTATTCCCCTTGGCCTTAAACTGCCTTAATAGTTCCAAGTTGATGTTCTATATTCTCCATTCACTTCTATATGTTACCTACTAATTTTTTTAGAATAATAATAAGAACTCAAAACACATTGAAACAATGCTTTAGCTAAGATTAAGAGTAGGCACAGCAATAGAAGAAAAAGGCGACACTTTGTGATTTAAAAATTATTTATAGGGGTACTTTCCAATGGAGTAAATTTGTGCTATAAATTATGTTTGAAATTTTGCTAGTGAATGTCTCTTAAATATAGCAGTTTTATTTACTCTGGTCATAGCTATAAGAAAATTGCATTGAAATAAAAAAAAAAACAATAGTTCGGGTAAATGTTATCCTAACTAAAGGTAATTGTTTTTTTTTTCCCCCCGTAAATTACTGCTAACTAGGGACACCTGGGTGGCCCAGCGATTGAGTGTTTGCCTTTGGTTCAGGGCGTGATCCCAGAGTCCCGGGATCGGGTCCGCATCGGGCTCCCTGTGAGGAGCCTGCTTCTCCCTCTGCCTGTGTCTCTGCGTCTCTCTCTCTCTCTCTGACTTTCATGAGTAAATAAATAAGCTCTTTAAAAACAAAAACACTGCTAACTAGTATTTTTCTTCCAGCTGCTCGCAACCATGTTAATAGGATGTGCCTGGCAGCTGATGTTCCTCTTATTGAGAGTGGAACTGCTGGTTACCTTGGGCAAGTAACTACCATCAAAAAGGTAAAGTAAGTTTTTTTTACTTCCCAAATAATTTTTTTGGACCTTAAGGGAGGGAAGAAGTAAACTTTGAATTTATATGATTTGGGCTGGTCAGCATCCAAGAAACAGGGATTTTTGTACTGTGATAAAACATAGATACTATAAAAGTATTGAAAAGAATATAAGGCAGAGATTTTTTAGCTTGGTGCTGTTTTGCTTCTGTAGCTTATATATTAAAATTATTAGACTGGTAAGCTTAATAAAATTACATTTACAAATTCTTTGTAGCTATGAGACTGCATGCCATGCTGTAGTTGACATGATAAAACAGTCTTCTGCAAAATTACTTTTTATCTGAAGTCTGGACTCAGTAGATCTTTGAAGAGTACTTTGAAAATTTTTGGTGTATTTCTGAAATATTTCAAACAGAATAATAGAGCAAATGAATACTTGTAGACTTACAATGGAGTTTTACAAAATTCAACGATGTCCTCTTTTTCCTCTTAGTTCTTTTAGGAAATTAAACTTAGTTACATATGAGGAATCATTTTGCAGGTTTTGAAACCAAAACTTGGATTACATTCCTTAAAATTTGCTACTTTTGTCCGTTACTTGGCAGTTTACCCATATTGAAAATTGTGGCTCTGCTTCTTTCCTTTTAGCTGGTAAATACTACTATTAGAAGCTTATTTAGTATCTTTTTACAAAGACTATTGTAAATATCAGTGTGTATTAAATTTACTTAAATCACTAGAGTCCTTCAGAGTCTGTTCATAAGTTCAGCAGTAGTTCTCTTTTCCACTGTGATTTGACGGATGGCTGCTTGTCGTATGGCTGCTGCCCCCAGGAAAGTTACTGTGAAAGATACTAGAAATGGTACTATGGAGAAAGTCCTGGATTTGCTGCTATATATGTTAAAACAATATTTCCAGGTTTTGGTTCTTTAACCAGTATTAGAAAGACATTGCTCATTAACATGATCCTAAGGTACTAGTATGTATTAAGACCGAGGTTGAGAATTGCTGAAATGAGGAATATTCATTTATGGTTTTGAAAAATTGTCTTAGGTGCCATAGACTTGTTCCAAAGAGTCCTTACATTGCAAATTAAAATGTAACCCTAGCTCAACAAAATGAAGATTTTATTTGGTGGTAATCTAGGATTTTTCTGTATACATAGGTGGTTCTTGAAATGAATAATTATTTTTAGCTTTCTTAATTTTTAGGAGATTATAAGGTAAGGCTATGAATATTTAAATAACTGAGGTTCACACCTTTGAGAGATAATTGGTTAGAAAGCTGTTATTTGTTTAAAAAAAAACTGTTATTTGTCTTTTAGTAGTTTTTCTTTTGTTTAGGGTGATTAAGGGAAACTTCATATTGATATTCAGGTGCAGTTGTTTTTTTTGGGTTTTTTTTTTTTTTTTTTTTTTTTTTAGCTTGTGAGTGGTGCTTACTGGACCAGGAGTCAGGAATCCTGGCTTAGATTTAGCTGTGACTGTGATTCATTCAATTCACATTTCTTACAGTTTCTCCTCTGTAAAGGAAGGATTTTGGAGTCACTGATATTTTAAAATATGCTTGACAGTATAAAATCCAGTTAGAGTAGATGAATGAATGTTTATTATATTACTTTATAATGTTGAGAAACCACCAGTGTGGGATAAATGACTTTCTCATATCCTGACTTTGCAGGGTGTAACTGAGTGTTACGAATGTCATCCCAAACCAACCCAGAGAACTTTTCCTGGCTGTACAATTCGTAACACACCATCAGAACCTATTCATTGCATCGTTTGGGCAAAGTATTTGTTCAAGTAAGAGAGTATCTATTTCTGGGCGTATTTTCAGTATTGTCGATGGGAAATGGGGTCATTTTTATTTAAATATTTTGGAGAGATTGTACTTAGGAGGAATATTCTTTTAAATATGGCAAAGAGATACTTCAGTAGCTTTCTTTTGATATCTCTTGTGCTAAATTCAGCCAACATTGTATCCATGCCTGTTAATATACCATAGACTGTTTAGGAAGCCTGATATTGGAGACAGGCATGTAACTAAAGGAATACAAATTTGTGTATTTGGAATTATAAAAACAGCAGCAACTCATTGGTTAAAAAAAGATCACGGGGGAGTGCCTGGGTGACTCAGTCAGTTAAGCATCTACCTTTAGCTTGGGGCGTGTCCCAGGGCCCTGCTAGTGGGGAACCTGCTTCTCTCTCTCCTCTCTCTCTCTCTCTCCCCCTCTGACCCTCCACCCCCACTTCTTTGTGCTCTCTCTTTCAAATAAGTAAATTCTTTTTTTTTAAAGTGAGATTGTGGAAATTAAAAATATTTTGTAATGATAATGAAAATAATACATGTGAAACTTGGATGCATTGAATATGGCATTTGATAGAAAAGTTCTAGGCATAGACACATACAGAAAGATGAACCTTAATGAGCTAAGGACCCAACTTATATTGGAAAAAGGATAAACTCCAAGGAAATTGGTGGGAAGGAGGTAATTGAGATAAAGGGGAAAAAATACTTCTTTGAGTTCAGTCATGAAAAGGAGAGAGAAATAACTAAATGAAGAATATAATCTCAGGGCAGATTTACGTAATAGTAAAGAACAAAAGGGTGATAATAAAAAGACCATGCTGGTATACAGAAATTTTTAATGATCTGGATAAATTCATTTAAAAAAAAGAGAGCACAGTGAGGAGGGACAGAGGGAGAAAATCTCAAGCAGACTCCATGCTGAGCATGGAGCCCAGTAAGGGGGTCAGTCTCTCTACTTGTGAAATTACCATCTGGACCAAAACAGAGTCAGATCCTTAACTGACTGCTTGCTACTCAGGCACTCTTGGATAAATTCACTATGAAAAAAACTGACTCAAAGAAATAGAAAGCCTGAATAGTACTATGCCTTAGGGGAATTTAACCAGTGTTTTAAATTCTGAGTGATGCACCAAACTTAGGTGAATTTACTGGTGATCTCCACTGAACTTGAAAGTACTATATCAAAATAATGTTAAGTAAACTGTCCCATAGACCTTTTTTTTAAATGAATATTAGTTTACATTTACAGGACTGTCATGTCTTTGATAACAAAACCACATAAGGTCATTATGGAGTAACAGAATTTTAAGACTTTTTTTTTTTTTAAGCTTTATTTGTTTTAGAGTGTACACATTCTTGTAAGAGTGTGGGGAGGGCCTCAAGGGGGAGAGAGAGAAGCAGATTCCCTACAGAGCTCAGAGCCCGACATAGGGTTCAGTCTCATGACTCTAAGATCACGACCCTGAGACAAAATCAAGAGTTAGATGCTGAACTGACTTAGCCACCCAGAGACCCTCAAGACATTCTTATTTATAAATGTAGATGCAAAAGTCTTGTACAAAATAGTAGCATACAAATCTAGAATTTTGTAAAACAAAAAGTGTGCCATGACCAGGTTGTATTTATTCCAAGAATATAAGCACAGTTTAATAAAGGTCTTTCACTTCATTAAGAAATTAAAGAGGGGGCAGCCCGGGTGGCTCAGCGGTTTAGCACTGCCGTAAGCCCAGGGCTGGATCCTGGAGACCCAGGATCGAGTCCCACATCTGGGCTCCCTGCATGGAGCCTGCTTCTCCCTCTGCCTGTGTCTCTGCCTCTCTTTCTCTCTCTCTCTCTCTCTCTCTCTGTCTCATGAATAAATACAAATCTTTAAAAAAAGAGGGAGAGAAACTATATAATCGAGATGTAGAAAAAGCATCTGACAAAATTTAGCAGACATCATTTCATGACAAATTCTTAGTGAATTAAAATTTTATCAACCTGGTAAAAGATATCTTTACAAACCTACAACCAACACTGATTTCCTTATTGATTGAGGTATAATGTATATGCACTCGGAAAAGTACACATAGAATAATGGTATAACAGTGAAATTTCACAGAAAACATACTTACAAACTTTAAGTGGTAAACTTTTTAACAGATTTTACTTTTTAGAAATTTAAGATTTTCAGCAAAATTGAGGAGGTACAGAGTTCCCCCATTGTTTCTTGTGTTAGTATGATACATACGTAGTAATTAATGAACCACTATTGGTCCTTTTTGTTAACTGAAGTCCATGGTTTATTCAGAGATCTTTCGTTTTTACCTAGTGTCCCTTTTTTGTTCCAGGGTACCACATTACCATTAGTTGGGTCAGGTCTCTTTAGGCCTTAGGCCTCCTTTGGCTGTCATAGTTTTTCAGACTTTCCTCCTTTTTGATGACCTGATAATTTTGAGGTGTGCTAGTCAGGTACTTTGTAAGATGCTTTACTATGGGAAATTTTTTTGTGTGTGTTAACACTGTCATGAGCTATTGGAAGGGAAATCACACAGGTAGGTAAATTGCCATTTTCATGACATCATATGAAGAGTAAATATATTATTGAAATATTGATGTAGTTTATAACTTAATGTTGGCCTTGATCATTTAACTAAGGTAGTGTTTGCCAGGCTTCTCCACTGTAAAGTTAACTCTGCTCCCCCCCCCCCCCTTTTTTTAAAGATTTTATTTATTTATCCATGAGAGACACAGAACGGCAGAGACAGGCAGAGGGAGAAGCAGGCTCCATACAGGGAGCCCAACGCAGGACTTGATCCTGGGTCTCCAGAATCACACCCTGGGCTGAAGGCAGGGCTAAACTGCTGAGCCACCTGGGCTGCCCTGCTCCCCTTTCTATATTGTATCGTACACTTCGGAAGGAAGTCATTGTGTGCATCTCACACCTAAGGAATGGGAGCTGTGTTCTGTTTTCTTGAGAGCATAGTGTCTACATAGAGTTCTTCTGCCTGGAAAATTTTTCTCACCTATTTATTGATTTATTCATCATTTATATCAGTATGCAGTCATTAAATATATTTTTCAGGTTAAATCCAGTAGTATGTTTGTTGCTCAGCTTTGGCTGCTGGGAATTCTTTATTTTGGGTCTGTGTTCTTAGACATACTGCCATCAATGGGGGGAGGATGTTTAGGGAGTAATACCTTGCTTTCTGGTACTAGATGTTCCAGGCTCATCATGTTATTTCCTGCTGTAGAATCAGACCTTTCTCCAAGGAGCCTTGGTTCCTTTTATTAAAGAATGGCTTTAGAAATCAAGATTTGAATGTTTGGCATGCATTGGTGTCATTTCTTTTAGGCTCTCTTAACTAATAGAGCAAAGAATATATTTTATACTAATCTGTATATGTGTACAAATTTATAAACATTTCAGTATCCATCCTTATCTATATTAAGCTAAATGTGAATTCATACTAGTGTCTCCAGCTCTACTCCATTAGTACACGGATCATTCTAGCCTCCTCCCCGTGCTTATCTGTATAGTCCCACTCCAACAGGCAGAAACTTCCACTGTTTGCCATCCATATACTTAATATAAGCATTCTTTTTAATTTTTTTTTTTTTAAGATTTTCTTTATCCATGAGAGACATAGAGAGAGGGGCAGAGGGAGAAGCTCCCTGTGGGGAGCCCTATGCAGGACTGGATCCCAGGACCCTGGGATCACGACCTGAGCCAAAGGCAGATGCTCAACCACTGAGCCACAAAGGGGCCCCTAAGTTATTTTTTAAAGATTTTTTTTTATTTGAGGGAGTGCATGCATGAGTTGGAGGGAGAGGGAGAAGCAGACCCCCATTGAACCAGACTAAGGCCTTGATCCCAGGACCTTGAGATGAGGACCCCAGCTGAAGGCAGACACCCAACCAACAGAGCCACCTACACGCATTATTTTTAATGATAAAAGTTATAAATCAACTCTCTGAAATGATAGCGTGAAGGAAATTGCTGCTTCAGTTTGGTGTTGTAATGAAGTTCCAGGCCAGCACAATAAGACAAAATTCAGGAGTAAGAGTTGATTAAGAAGAAACAAAACTTGTTTGCATATAGTTTGAAAAGCTCCAAAGAGTCTATAAACAAATTATTAGAAATAATGAGTTGGCCAACTAATAATTTAGTTGGCCATGTTGCTGAACTCAATCCCAAGACCCCAGGATCACCCCCTGGGCCAAAGGCAGGTGCTAAACCGCTGAGCCACCCAGGCATTCTAATGTGAAATTTTAATATAAGCTAAAAGTAACTTACAGTATGTTACTGGTACAGAAGTAGAAACACAGCCCTTGGGACAATGCAGAGCTCTTGGCCAGGGGTGCATTAAGAGATCCCAGATGAAAGAAGGGATTGAATTAAAGGTAGGACAATTTATTATCAATGTAGAAAAAAAATTCTCCGAATAGTATATAAAAATTAAGTCCAGATAGATTTTTTTTTTAAAGGTTTATTTATTCATGAGAGACAGAGAGAGAGGCAGAGATAACAGGCAGAGGGAGAAGCAGGGAGCCAATGTGGGACTCAATCCTGGGTCTCCAGGATCATGGAGTGAAGGCAGTGCTAAACTGCTGACCCACCCAGGCTGCCCTAGATAGATTATTTAGATGTCAAAGGAAAAACACTATCTTTCTAATATGAGGGAAAATCTTTAGGAAACAATCTCAAGACTCAAAAAAGTGATAACCATAAAAGAAAGGATTGATTCATTTGAATCCATTAAATATTACTTGTCAAAAGACTGTATATATGAGAAAATATTTGCAACACAAATTCAACTAAAAATTATGATCTTAGAATATATTCCTGTAATCAAGAAATACACAACCTGACAAAATAATACAAATAGGCATTTTCACTTAGAGGGAAACCCACATAGGCAGTAAGCAAATGAAGATGTATTTAACTTCATGACTAACTTCATGAAAACTAAGAGTAAAATTATAAGGTACCATTTTATTCTTGGTAGGTTAGCAAAATGTTAAGTCTAGGGGGGAGTGAATTGATAGGAACTCTACATGCCTTGTGGGAGGTGAAAATTGATACAGTGACTTAGGGAAACAAGTGGACATTACAAACAGGTCTTGTAAACTCTATCAGGAGCTTCTTTTTAACTGGAAAGGATACCTTTAAAAGCTTTCTTCTAAGTCAAGTACTTGAGGAAAGGTTGGAACATTATATTCCTGTAACTGCTATGAAATATATTATTGTTTCTTAATAATATATTGTTTCTTAAGGCCTTTTAGTAGTAAAGATATATACTACCATGAAAAAAAAGTCTTACTCTTTATTCTTAGACCTAGATCAGTGCCCAGCATGTAGCAGATGTGTAATAATGTGTTTTTTTGTTTGTTTGTTTGTTTTAATAATGTTTTTTTAATAGCTAGTTACAGGTATACTTCACAAGTGCCATTCTGGCATTAGAATGTTCTCCAACTTGGAATGTAAAAGCTGTGTCTTGATCAAATATTTTAATGTAGAAATTTGTAGAACCTAAATGATAGGAATGAACATAGGTGTGCTAAAATTTAGCCTGCTGTGTATTATGGTTGAAATTAGAATGCAAACTCTGAACAGGTTGCTTTAATACTTTTACGTTTATGGAATATAATTTATCTTTTTTTTTTAATTTTTATTTATTTATGATAGTCACACAGAGAGAGAGAGAGGCAGAGACATAGGCAGAGGGAGAAGCAGGCTCCATGCACCGGGAGCCCGATGTGGGATTCGATCCCGGGTCTCCAGGATCGCGCCCTGGGCCAAAGGCAGGCAGGCGCCAAACCGCTGCGCTACCCAGGGATCCCGAATATAATTTATCAATTGTTTATTCTTCATTCCTCCTAAAGATTTGGAATATTCTAAATTAGTTGTTTTGGGGGGAAGTAGGAAAAGTAAACCTTTGTTCAGAATTTTTTTTTTTTGAACATAAATATTTATTGCTCTTATAGCCAGTTGTTTGGGGAAGAAGATGCTGATCAAGAAGTATCCCCTGACAGAGCTGACCCTGAAGCTTCCTGTGAGTAGATGGGGATGTTATCTTACTTAGCACTACCTTTATTTTGCTAACTTGATAGCATGAGGAGAAACAAAATAATTGCTTTTTTATGTTACATAGTATATTATGTATTTAAAATGGATTATTAAAACATGAGTAGTCCCATTTGTGGTGAAGACAAGGTGCAGAAATTTACAAATGCAGTAAATAGAGCAGAGAGTTTTCAGATCTGATTACAGGTCCATATTTTGAACTGTTCTACATGTGGCTGTCAGAAACTGAAATAGAAGATGCTCATGAGTGTATTATTTTCCTTTGTCTTTGAACTCAGAAGGTCATGTGCAGGTGACTTCCATGAAAGACTCTTTCTCCCTCAAAGGTATATGAGAGGTTGGTTCTACGTTTACCATAACTGCGAATAAAATGGTGTTCATTCTATAGGGGAACCAATGGAAGCTGAAGCCAGAGCCAGAGCATCTAATGAAGATGGTGACATTAAACGTATTTCCACTAAGGAATGGGCTAAATCAACTGGATATGATCCAGTTAAACTTTTTACCAAGGTTAGATTTACTTTCTTTATAATTATGGATTAGTTTATTATTCTGTTTGTTTTAAAATAGTAAACGAAATAGGGTTGCCTGGGTGGCTCAGTCAAAGTGTGTCTTCCTTCAGCTCGGGTCATGATTTCCAGGGTCCTGGGATCAGGCTCTGCATCGGGCTCCCTGCTCAGTGGGAAGCCTGTTTCTCCCTCTCCTCCCCACTCATGCTCTCTCTCTCTCAAATAAAATCTTAAAAAAATAAAAATGAACTCTGAGCCTGAAGTTTAAAAAAAAGTACATGAAATAGATGCTTTTTATGTCCAGTGTTGTCTTAATAAGTTGATTGATGTCATCAGGATAAGCAGTTTTGGAAATTTCCTTAATCGGTATAGAAATTAAAATAGAAAGGCTCCCTTACATATGTCTGGCTGGCTTTCCTTCCCTCATTTTGACTGAACCTCTTGATTTTCCTTGTAATTGATCTTCCTGCTGTTTCTCATCTTCTCTTAGATCCGTCCTGCTCAGATCTCTTGGGAAGCTGATGGACATTTACTGAATTAGTCTTGAATCCCTAATTCTCTCATTCTTGGACAAATCCCTCTTCATTAGTATATATTTGCCTGCTGAATATATGTAGAGAAATCTACAAGATTGTTTTAATTGGCTCTAATTATAGCCCAGCTAGATTTTCATGTCTGTGTTTAAAAGTTTTTTTACTTCTTTTGCCTCCACTCCCTAGCAAGTTTATCATAATAGATACTTGGAGATTTGTTACCCCTTTTTTATATATAAGATTTTATTTATTCATGAGAGACACGGTGGGGAGGGGGCAGGGAAGAGACACAGGCAGAGGGAGAAGCGGGCTCCATCCATGCAGGGAGGCTGACGTGGGACTCAATCCCTGGTCTCCAGGATCACTCCCTGGACTGAAGACAGCGCTAAACTGCTGAGCCACCCGGGCTACCCAGCCTTTTTCTTTAAAAAAAAAAAAAAAAAAAAAAAAAGATTTTATTTATTCATGAGAGACACATAGAGTCAGAGACATAGACAGAGGGAAGCAGGCTCCCTGCTGGGAACCTGATGTGGGACTCAATCCCAGAACCCTGGGATCATGCCCTTAGCCAAAGGCAAATGCTCAACCACTGAGCCACCCAGGAGTCCCTCTTAGCTTTTCTTGAATTACCCTAATACAGTATAATACAGTAGGTAAATCTTACTATCCTTACTGAGCAGATGACCTTAAGAATATATTAACAGGCTTATAGCCATTGGACAAAAGCACCCATTAAGAGCAGGTCCCACTTCATGCAAACTTTTTTTTCCCCTCCTGCTACTTGAGAGAAATTGCTGTGAAAAAAGGTTCCTTTACTTTCCTTTGTACCTTTGTCTTTTTTATTTTTTTAAGATTTTATTTATTCATGAGAGACACAGAGAGTCAGAGACACAGGCAGAGGGACAAGCAGGTGCCATTCAGGGAGCCTGATGTGGGACTCCAGGATCACACCCTGGGCTGAAGGCAGGTGTTAAACTGCTGAGCCACCTAGGGATCCCAGTCTTTTTTTTTTTTTTTTTTTAAATAGGCTTCATGGTGAATGTGGGGCTTGAATTCAAAACCCTGAGATTGTGGGGATCCCTGGGTGGCTCAGCGGTTTATTTATTTTTTAAGATTTTATTTATTCATGAGACACACAGAGAGAGGGGCAGAGACACAGGCAGGGGGAGAAGCAGTCTCCATGCAGGGAGCCTGACACGGGACTCAATCCTGGGTCTCCAGGATCATGCCCTGGACTGAAGGCAGATGCTCACCCGCTGAGCCCCCTGGGCTGCCGTGTGTGTGTGTGTGTGTGTGTGTGTGTGTGTGTGTGTGTGTGTGTGTGTGATGAATAAATAATAAAATCTTAAAAAAAAAAACAGATTGAGAATCAACATGCTCTAATGACTGAACCAGCCAGGCACCCCCTGTAACTTATTTCTTTATCACTATATTTTTGCCAGTTTAATTGCAGTAAGCTTTGGTGTGGTTCTGCTTTTCTTGACTTTGGTGGGAGTTCTCTGTGTTCCCCAGATCTGAATGGGAAAGTCTTTATCTCCCATTTTGAATAGTATGTTTGCCGGTTAAAGTATTCTTGGCCACAGGTTTTTGCCATTTGACACTTTGACTATATCATGCCACTTCTGGCTTGAAAAGTTTCTGCTGAACAATATGCTAGCCTTAAAGAGTTTCCCTTTTAAGTTACTATCTTTTGTCTTCTTTAAAATTGTTTTCTTTATCACCATGTTTTGCCAATTTAATTTTTTTACTGTATTTTTCAAACAGTATTTTCTTTCTGCCCTGCATCTTGATCTTTCCTGGCTCCTTCTGTCTGCTTTCCAACATATACAGGTTCCGCTATCCTAAGCAAATAGCCTACTACTTTCTCCAGTTTATATATCTACTCTTTTCCTCAGTGCAGGAGCTGTCACAGGTTGAACTCTTTAAACTTGTTGCATTTATTTCCCTGCTTTAGCCTTTTTAAAATTTTTTAAAAGATATTTATTTGAGAGAGAGAAAGAATGAGTAGACAGAGGGAGAGGAAGAAGCAGGCTCCCCACTGAGCAGGGAGCCTGATATGGGGCTTCATCTCAGGACCTTGGGATTATGACCTGAGTTGAAGGCAGACACTTAACCAGCTTTGCCACCCAGGTACCCCCTATAGCCTTTTCTTAAGAAAATGGATTCTGCTTAAAAAAAAAAAAAAAAAAAAGGATTTTGGTTATGCTTAAAATGTACTTAGCACTGTTAGGGCTGGTGACAGTGTATTTTCTAATTTTGAGTCTCCCAGATCTATTCAGTAGGTAACTAAGCATCTGCTGTGTGCTGGTTACCACTCTGAAATGAGACAGTGGTAAACAAGACAGAAGATAGGGTCCTAGCTCTTTGGTTTTTTGTTTTTGTTTTGTTTTTTAAGATTTTATTTATTTGTTCATGAGAGACACAGAGAAAAGGCAGAGACATAGGCAGAGGGAGAAGCAGGCTCCATGCAGATAGCCCAATGTGGGACTCAGTCCTGGAATTCTGGGATCACACCCTGAGCCAAAAGCAGACACTCAACTGCTGAGCCACCCAGGCACCCCAGGTCCTAGCTCTTTGTAGGTAACTCATAGTTCAGAGGCAAAGTCAAACATTGAAAAAGAAATATCAAATTCAGAGTGTCATGACATTAAGATCAGATGCATTGGAATCTTTAATAGTAAGTAGACTTAGCATTGTTATTAGTGTTATTAAACATTGTTATTAGACCTACTTACCAGAACTAGTGTTCAAAAGAGGTTTTCCAGAGGAAGTGACGTTTCAACCCAAGACTTTAAAGAATAGGGTTGGGGATAAGAGTGCTACATATATAAAGGTCACTGGTCAGAAAACTGAAATAATTCTAAAGGGAGAGTGGGAAGCGGATTAGAAACATAAGGTGAGGCTACATGAAGCAGGAAGTCCTAGGTCATTACAAGGCTGGTAAACCAAGGCAATGGGAATCCATTAAGTAGTCTATAAGATCAGATAGAGAGAGTATGCCGTGCACCATTCTTAGGACCTGATATTCCTGTTGTAGTCAACAGGGGACAGTGCCTTCTGGAATTGTACAGTGTTAGAGTAATCTGAAGTACACGCCCATTTGCATTCCCAGTGGAGTGTGGGGAAAAAAGTAGACTCAACGAGACTTAGGATGTTTAGGGGGTAAGTGTCCCAAGTCTTTTTTTTTTTTTTTTTAAGATTTTATTTATTTATTCATAGATACACAGAGAATGAGAGGCAGAGACACAGGTAGGGGGGAGAAGCAGGCTCCATGCAGAGAGCCGGATGTGGGATTTGATCCAGGGTCTCCAGGATCACGCCCTGGGCTGCAGGAGGTGCTAAACCGCTGCGCCACCGGGGCTGCCCAGTGTCCAAGTCTTGATTTTGGCTCAGGTTGTGATCCCAGGGTTGGAGACTGAGCCCCATGTTGGGCTCCATGTTCAGCAGGGAGTCTGCTCAAGATTCTTTTTATCTCCCCCACCCGCCACTCACACACTCTTTCTCTGAAATAAATAGTTTAAAAAACAAAAAAGACTTCAGATATTTAAGGTGAGGAATAGTGAAAAATTAGGAATTTTACCTGGTTTCCTGCTGGGCAGCAGAATGAACAAGATGCCATTTCTCTGAAGTAGGCGAGGTGAGCAGCAGGTGTGTTGGATAGGGGTTAGAGGACAGGAGAAGATGACAGAATCAATTTGAGATTGCTGTGGAATACTAGAATAAGGACAGGTGATTGTAAGTCAAGCAGAGAGGTTTAGACTATGGTTTGTAGGCCTAAGAGAAAAGAGCGTGGAGGTGGTTTATTATAGAACTCAGAGGGATTCCCAGGATTTAATAATTGGATAAGGGGAATGGAGCCTTGTATGTGGAAAACCATGCTAATTCCACATTACCTTAGGAGACTTTTCAGCCAAGCCCTTAAGGTCATCTATAAAATGGGTCTTGGGACGCCTGGGTGGCTGAGCCGTTGGCTCAGCGCTTGATCCCGGGTCTGGGGATTGAGTCCCACATCAGGCTTCCTGCATGGAGCCTGCTCCTCCCTCTGCCTGTGTCTCTGCCTCTCTCTCTCTTTCTCTCTCTGTCTCTGTCTCTCAGGAATAAATAAATAAATCTTTAAAAAAAATGAAGTGGGTCTAACCACATTGGTTACCCAGATCATACTGAATTTATTTCCTTGCCTGTGCACCCATTTCAGATGTTACCATCTCCTTGAACTCTTTTCTTATTCCTCAAAACAAAACAACTGCTGGTGCTAAAAGCTATGTTATTTTCACACTAAATTTGTATTCTTAACTATTTGTATATTTGGTTAGTTTTCCAAAGATATAAGGATGCTTCATAAATATTGACTGAATAGAATATATTTTGATAGAAATAGTTCTGAATTTGGGGGGCACCTGGGTGGCTCAGTTGGTTAAGCAGCTGACTCTTGATTTTGGCTCAGGTCATAATCTTGGGGTCATCAAATTGAGCCCCAAGTCAGGCTCTGGGCACAGCAGGGAGTCTCTTTGAGATTCTCTCTCCCTCGCCCCTTCCCTTCCTCATGCTCTTTCTCTAAAATAAATAAAATACACATTTAAAAATGGTTTTGAATTTTTTACTAAACTGATTTACATTCATAGCTTATACATATAATAAATGTATGAGTAAATCATCTGACAGTAGAAAATTCAGCTGAGGAAAAAATAAATATTCTAAAATCACCTGAAATTCCACCACAGGATAGTGCCATTGTTGTGATAGTCTCTTAGGCTACATGTAATAATGTTTATAATGTATTTTGTTTTTGAAAGAGTGCACTTGTGAGCCAGGAGGAGAGAGAATCTTAAGGAGGCTTCATGCCCAGCGTAGAGCCTCAGGGCTCGATCTCATGACTCTGAGACCATGACCTGAGCCAAAATCAGGAGTCGGACACTTAACCGACTGAGCCACCCAGACACTTCTATAACTTTTTTGAAAAAAAATTGTTTTGGTTTTGGGATTTACGGGGGGATACTGGGGGGCACAAGAGCAGACCACATTTCAAAGATGTTACAGATGGTTAAATTCTGGTTTTTCTACTTTTAAAATGTGTATGCGTTATTGCTATACCTTGAACTTGGAGTTAACTAGTTAAAACTGGTCTCTCTGAGCTCAGTGATTTTATTCAGTTCTTGTGGAAATGATGTATGTTTATTTAGCTTTGGGATTGGTGTGATTTTGCTTTAGATTGATCTTTAGAACGTTAGGTGTGTTTTGGGGAGGTGAGTTGGGAGGGCAGGAGCCATGAGCACTATTCATAGTTCCCTTACTCTGTTTTCCTCAGCATTTCTGCTTTCACTGTTTCAAATGCAGGTGTTCTGTGTGAAATTTCTTTTTACAGAAGGTTTAAGTTTTGTGGGTTTTTTTCTTTTAGAAATTGCTAATCTGCTGGTATATGTTGTGTCTTTAAGATTTTATGGTATATTATAGTAAACCAGCAGTGAAATTTTTGTTACATTTTATCAACATGGGGACTGTAGGATTTGTTGGATTTTAACTTTTTTTTTTTTTTTTTTTTTTTTAAGCTTTTTAAAGATGATATCCGGTATCTGTTGACAATGGATAAACTGTGGCGGAAAAGGAAACCTCCAGTTCCATTGGATTGGGCTGAAGTACAAAGTCAAGGTAAAGAATACATTTATGGGTTGCCAGGCAGGCTTTTTCAGGGGAGCATCTGGCTCTTGATCTCATGGTTGTGAGTTCAAGCCCCACATTAGGTGTAGAGATTACATATTACATACATACATACATAAATACATGCATGTACAAACCAACTTAAAAACTTGTCTTTGTGATACCTAAATTGGAAATTCTCTCACCTAAAATCGTTAAATAACACTGAATTTCGTGGTAACAAATTCAAACAGTTTAGAAATATGTGAAGAAGAAAGATCACTGCAAATCTTGCCACCTAGAGAAATAGCCACTATTAACATTTAGGGAATGTCTTGGTAGTCAACTGTGCATAGAAACAAAGGGCATTTGTCTATGCACTTACGTAAATGGAATCATACTATTTATATATTCTTACTGCTCTTTCTAGTCAATATTATTTAGCTCCTTATTGGATGACCTTTATTTGTTTCATATTTTCCCTGAAATAAAGTGTTAAGATACATTGTGATAAGAATACATGCACCTACATCTTTGTACCTTTGTGTGTGTATCTGTTGAAGATTTAATTTGAGGACATACTTGTAATTTTGAACGTGAGGAAAAAGCACTGTGAAAGTGACGTTTTCTTTATCCCGCTGCCTCTTCCACATATTATATCTGTGCTTTATCTGAATTATATTTCAGTTAATGTATGCAAAGTAGTGGTCAGTACATTGAAACTTAAAGGGTCCCAGGAGATTTGGGGTGTCAGTTTGGAGCAGTTCTCTACGCTAATGAATAGATGTCTTCACAGACCAAATGATAGCTTCCATTTAACTGAGTGCTAATTATGTGTTGGACATAATGCTTATCATCTTATTGACAGTGTATCTTTGAATTCCCCAATAACTTTATGAGGTCCCTCACTATTAGCAATTTCATTGCACAGACTTTTGTAGCATTCTGATCATTGTTTTGTTTTGTTTAGAGATTTGATTTTTATTCCACGTTTCTCTTTTTTTTTTTTTTTTTTAAGATTTTATTTATTTATTCATGAGAGAAAGAGAGGCAGAGACACAGAGGCAGAGGGAGAAGCAGGCTCCATACAGGGAGCCTGACATGGGACTCAATCCTGGGTCTCCAGGATCATGCCCTTGGCTGAAGGCGGCGCTAAACCGCTGAGCCACCCGGGCTGCCCTGATAATTATTTTAATGGAATTTGTTTCGTTTTGATTTTCTTACTGGTCAAGCATTGAATTGTTAAATAAAATAGAGGAATGATGTTTAAGAGTGAAATTTCTAATATTTTTTCCCTTAGGCGAAGAAACCAATGCATCAGATCAACAAAATGAACCCCAGTTAGGTCTGAAAGACCAGCAGGTTCTAGATGTAAAGAGCTATGCCTGTCTTTTTTCAAAGAGCATTGAGACTTTGAGAGTTCATTTAGCAGAAAAAGGGGATGGAGCTGAGCTCATATGGGACAAGGTTCGTTTTGAAAATATGTGGCAATTCTGTTATCACTTGGATATTTATAGTTCTTGAACTGTAACCAGAAACAAGTGGTTTTTTGAGTATCATTTATTCTACCAGAATTTGAGGACATAATGATGATGTTGCTTAGGTGTTTTCATTTCTAATTACTACATTGAACTATGAATTTTCTTTCTTTCTTTCTTTCTTTCTTTCTTTCTTTCTTTCTTTCTTTCTTTCTTTTTTTTTTTTTTTTGAACTATGAATTTTCTGTATGTGAATTCAAGTATCAAGTAATACAAAACTTCATTTTAGATTCTGGTAGTATATGTGTGGTTTGTAATTATGTTGATTGGAGAAATGTGATTTCATTGGAGTAAAATGTTTCACTGACTTAAAAAATTATTTGTTACAAATACAGATTTGTTCATAGAAATCATAAAATTCTTTTGGAGACAACAGCTCTTGGGCCTGATTTAACCTTGAAAGTAATAAAATTGCCTTTCTTTTTTTTTTTTTTTTAAAGCTTTTTATTTAAAAGAAAAAAAATAAAGCTTTTTATTTTATTTTATTTTATTTTTATTTTTTTATTTATGATAGGCACACAGTGAGAGAGAGAGAGAGGCAGAGACATAGGCAGAGGAAGAAGCAGGCTCCATGCACCGGGAGCCCGATGTGGGATTCGATCCCGGGTCTCCAGGATCGCGCCCTGGGCCAAAGGCAGGCGCTAAACCGCTGCGCCACCCAGGGATCCCCTAAAATTGCCTTTCTATTGAAATACAGTGAAAGATCTGAGACTTCTAAATACAGAGTTGATCTTATTTTTAATAGTAATCAGTTTTCTGTGTCTAAAAGTGATTTATATGTGATGGCAGAGATTTGTCATGAGTTGTAAGGGGAGAAGTTTGGTCAGTATTACTAAGTTTGTGCAAATTTTGAAACTGAATTAGACATCTGAAATGAAACTAGTAAGTTTATATTTAGGAGATTCTCGTAAACATTCGTTTATGAGTTTATATTGCATAAACAGGTTTATATTATATTAAGGGTTTATATTGTATAAAGACTAACTACTTGATAAATATATATTTTCATTGTTACGATTATAATAGTGGTTTGGGACATTTTTATCCCTGAAACCTTGAAACTGAGAGTTGTTACCCTCTGATTAAAATCTATACCTATTGGGTATGGTGAACCAGCTGCCTAGGAAAGTACCTGATGTGTACACTGTGTTGTGTACTGTTAAATAATCATACTTCATCACAGTCTTATGAACTATTTATATAATTGTCCCTACTTATTAGTTAAGGAATTATGAGTTTTAAGGAATTTCATTTACCTGAGGTTAGTCAACCAGCCAGTAAATAGAGAACTCCCATCCTGTCAGTTTTTTCTCTTATATACTTAGGTGCTTCTGAATTATAGGCTAAGATAGTATGTTCTCAGTGAAGCAGGAAACCTTGCTGAAATCTAAAGAGACCAAGATATAGTCTCAAAAAGAATATAAATTGTCAAGGGAAAACTTTTGTTGTATTGCTATATGTGAAAAGAAACGTTGAATACAGGACACTGGTGTATCTAAGGGAATTTGGAGAAAGAAAACCGAAAGGTGTAGTCCAGATATTTGAGTCTTTAATGAAGCCCTTTTCTCTAAGAAGTCTATCTCACTGATGTTATTGAACAACTTTTCATTACTGACTGATGGACCCAGAAAAGAATCGCCACCATCAGTGAATGAAATTGGTGTTCCGGTCTATATACTTAGTATCTGCTGCACTAGAAGCTTGGTGGGTCTTGGCATTCTTGTCAGGCTGCATTCCTGGATTCAAGAAGCTGATAATGAGACCCTGCCCCCTACTCATCCAGTCTCCATGTTACTATGAGGCTTTACTACAGACTGGCTATTTCCTCAAGGCCTTCTCTTATTCTAGTTGACTGTCTACAGTGTTATAAAACATGGGAAAGTACTGTTTTGAAGGTGATACTAGTCAAATTAAGTTTGTGGAAAGACTTGTTAAATTGTTTAAATTATCGGCAGGATGATCCATCTGCAATGGATTTTGTCACCTCCGCTGCGAACCTCAGGATGCATATTTTCAGTATGAATATGAAGAGCAGATTTGATATAAAATGTAAGTTGTCTTGTTCTTTGGTTGTATTATCTAAAATTCTGAGTAACTGTTTTTTAACAGTCAAATATATTCATCTTTGTTTTTTAGCAATGGCAGGGAACATTATTCCTGCTATCGCTACTACTAATGCAGTGATTGCTGGGTTAATAGTATTGGAAGGATTGAAGATTTTATCAGGAAAAATAGACCAGTGTAGAACGGTGAGTATATATATTTTCATTTTTTATGCAACATCTTTTATTTTTAAATTTAATTAGTTTTTAAAGTAATCTACTCAATGTGGGGCTTGAACTCTGGATCCTGAGGTTTAGAGTCATGTGCTCTGCCCGCTGAGCTAGGCAGGCGCCCCTGTCCAACCTTTTTTTCATAGTTTATACTTTGGGGGAAAAAAAACTTATAAATAACATATTAACTAGATCATTTTAAAAATTAAATCAATGAAATTGGTTAAAGCAGTGGGGAAAAAAGCACTGTTTCAGTTACCCCCGTGATTTCATGTGTAAGTAAGCTTCCTGGAAATTATAGCCAAAAAGAAAACATTTGCTCCTCTTATTTTTGTCTGAAATAGAAGCAGAAGCTAGTTTGCTTCTAACAGTTGCCTAGTTTTACTGAAGTCTTAGAGGGACTTGTGTGGTTCCTTCTGTTATTTTTTTTTTAAATATTTTTTCAATTCTAGGAGTTATCTATGGTTTTAATTTTGTCGTTTTATAGTACTCTCCTTTTTTGTTCTTGTTTTTCAGTCTCCTTTTTGGTTTTAAATCTAGTCCCATGTTCTTTAATAATGTCAGTGTCTGAACTCTGGGTGAGTCTACTGTCGTTTCTGCTAGATTTTACAGTATTTTGTTGACTTACGGTGTATTTTTTTAATCGAATTAGTGTTAATGTGTCTGGTAATTCTTAAGGACTTACTAAAGGTGTGCTTCTTCAAAGAGGATTTGTGTTTATTTAATAAAATCTTTAAAAAAAATAAATTCTTTATGGGCAGCCCCGATGGCGCAGAGGTTTAGCACTGCCTGCAGCCCAAGGCGTGATCCTGGAGACCCTGGATCAAGTCCCACGTCAGGCTCTCTGCATGATGCCTGCTTCTCCCTCTGTCTGTGTCTCTGTCTCTGTCTCTCTCTCTCTCTCTCTCTTTCTCTCTCTCTCTGTCTCTATGAATAAATAAAATCTTTAAAAAAATAAAATAAAATAAATTCTTAGCTTTAGTTTTTCAGCTCCTATATCCAGACAGCAAATCTTCATGAGCCTTGTCTTACCATAATGAAATGTGAAGGAAGATAACATGTCGTTCTTCCCTCCTCTTCCCCTCCCCCCTTACGTCCCCTAAGCACCAAGGCCAAAATCTTTTTTTTTTTTTTGTTTCCTATTTTTGTGGGAAAGATGCTTTTATTCTCCACATACCTCCCCTTCCAGGTCCTTGTTCTATGCAGGAGTCTCCTGTTAATTCCTACCTTGCAGAATACCTGGGTGGCTCAGTGGTTGAGCGGCTGGCTTTAGTTCAAGGCATGATCCCGGGTCTGCGGATCGAGTCCTGCATTAGGCTCCCTGAGAGGAACTTGCTTCTCCCTCTGCCTGTGTCTCTGCTTCTCTCTCTGTATCTCTCATGAATGAATAAATAAAATCTTTAAAAAAAAAATTCCTACATTGCTCGAGGGATGGACTAAGTTTATTTTTTAAAACTAAAGCCACTGGATATTCTCTCTGGATTCCTGCTTTTACTTTGATTTTGCTTGAAGATAGTTTGCATTCTTACCAGCTGAGAAATTTTTAAAACTGCCTTAAAAAACATTTAGCCAATACTTTTGATCTTGTTTAGGTTCTCCTTTTTACTATAATGTTGAAATGAAAGGACCAATTTATTTTCAGGATTTTCTTTTTTTTTTATTATTTTTTATTTTCAGGATTTTCTAAAAACTGCCTCCTTTAAAATGGTACTCGTACTTTTCAGTGCCATTATTGATACACTCTTAAAATACCTTTTATTGTTGGGGCACCTGGGTGGCTCAGTTAAGCATCCAACTCTTAATCTCAGCTCAGGTCTTGATCTCATGTTGTAAGTTCAAGCCCCATATTGGGTTCCATGCTAGGTGTGGAGCCTACTTAATCCATTTTTGGGACGCCTGGGTGGCTCAGCAGTTGAGCGTCTGCCTTTGGCTCAGGGTGTGATCCCGGGATCTGGGATCGAGTCCCACATCGGGCTCCTTACAGGAAGGCTGCTTCTCCCTCTGCCTGTGTCTCTGCCCCACTTTCTTTCTCTCGCTCTCTCTCTGTGTCTCCGTGTCTCATGAATAAATAAAATCTTTATAAAATAAAACTTTTTTCTGTTTTCATGAAATTTTGGGACAAAGGAATGCAGAGTCATTGCCAGTCTGTCATCTTGATTTGATTTGCTGTGTAAATCTTTTTTGACTGTCCTATTTTTAATTTTTAAGAACTTCTTGTTTGGGTTTTTTTTTTTAGATTTTCTTTATTTATTCATGAAAGACACAGAGAAAGAGAGGCAGAGACACAGGCAGAGGGAGAAGCAGACTCCATGCAAGGAGCCTGACATGGGACTCGATCCCGGGTCTCCAGGATCACACCTTGGGTTGAAGGCAGCACTAAACCGCTGAGGCACCAGGGCTGCCAGAACTTCGTGTTTTAATTTCCAACAGCCTGAGTTTGTCCTGTGGCTACAGAATACATCACTTGGAGCTGATAGACAATATTAATTAATGAATTTATTAAAATGTCTACTGTTTCCTGTGACATCCTTCTTGTTTCTTTACCTACTCAGCTTTGTCCCTCTCTTGGGTTGATGATGTTTAGGTCTGCATTTTTGGTTCACATTTATAAACTGAATTTTAGGACGGCGTAATAGTCTTAGCCTGTTAATAGTGTTAGCATTTGTTTTCATGACTGTTGATTTCCCTTAGTACAGTTACCTTCCCAGTGAAACCTAAGATCAAACAAATCTATTCCTCCATTGAACCCTGCCTCTGGCCCTGCCAATACAGTGACTAACTGTTAGCACTACTGTTAACAGGAGCGCCCTCCTCCCAGCAATAACTGCTTCCTACAGGATTTACTTCATTAAGCTTGGGGGATCCATGGGGTTCCTCTTTAGAATTAGTTCATCTTAGCAAGCGCCACTCTTAACATGGTCATCACAAGATGAAAATTTATTTATCTGCTTCTAGTGGTGTTCTCACATTGGTTTGTATTGATCTTGCTAGTATTTACCAAACTTTGTAGTAATATGAGGTGAGGCCTTCTTAAATTCCAGTGCAATTTTTATTATTTTTTTTAAGGTTTTATTTATTCATGAGAGACACAGAGAAAGAGGGGGGCAGAGACACAGGCAGAGGGAGAAGCAGGCTCCATGCAGGGATCCCAATGTGGGACTCGATCCCTGGTCTCGAGGATCATGACTTGAGCCAAAGGCAGACGCTCAACCTCTGAGCCACCCAGGTGTCCCTCGGTGCAATTTTTAAAATTTGCATTGGCTTTTATTTTTTTTGTTTGGGTACTAGGCAGGATGGAAGGTGGTAAATAGATGCTAATACTGCCTGAAGTACATTTTTTTTTCTCGTAATTATATAAACATTATTATTGTAGTTATCATAGACAAGTTGAAAAGAAAGGCAGTATATTGGTTCCATACATCTGTGAAGGTGTCATCATTAATTGGAGAAATTAATATATGTTGCTGTTATTGAGAAGTTGGCTTAAAATTGATAACCACTAGGAAGACACTCAAAAGCTTATTTAAGATCAGAGAGGAGTACAGCTAGACCCTTACTTGGCTAAAAAACTAGTTTGTACTCAAGTTCAGAGTCTTGAGCACAAGATTTCTTTTTAGTAAGCGTAGCCTTTGACGTGGTAGCTAATTGGAAAAGTTGGAAAATCAAGCTCTTAAGGTCTTGGTCTTATGTTTTTTGCCATCTAGAAGGGAATACTTAAGTCATTTTTTATTGGCTCTACAGTAAACAAGACGGTAGACTTTCAGTTGTATGATATATAAAATTGTAACTCAGATTTATGGATTCTGCTTGTATTTTTTTTCTCCTCCAAAGATTTTTTTGAATAAACAGCCAAACCCAAGAAAGAAGCTTCTTGTGCCTTGTGCACTGGATCGTCCAAACCCTAATTGTTACGTATGTGCCAGCAAGCCAGAGGTGACTGTTCGACTGAATGTCCACAAAGTGACTGTTCTCACATTACAGGATAAGGTAAGTGCAGACACTGGTTCTCTTCCACAAAGTATGTTCATTTTTCTTTCCTAAAAACAGAAAACCCAGGTTCCCTTCTGCTTGATAGTGTTGGTGTGATAAACTAAAAGCCACATAATTACTCTGAAAGATACTGACTACTAAAGTGCGTTGCTCTGATATTCTAGGTTGCTTTACTATCTGAGTTCCTGCTGGTTTTTTGTCTGTGGTTCCAGAGTATGTGCCTCACATGCCAGAAGGGAGTAGGAATGGAATAGGAAGGAAGTATGAATAGTAGGAAGGGATGGAATATGCACCATAGGTGGTACAGAGGTGATACAAATTCTTGGCAAACAAGAGACACTATGTTCCCAGATAGTGTGTAAATTCTCTGTTCTCTGACAAGCAGTATCCTTAAATGGTCTGGTGATCATCCTGATTCTGGTGTGTTATTAAGTTGGCCTCTTAACAGAATTCTGCATTTGTGTACCTGGATTCACCATTTGAGCTCTGGAGTGAGGAAAATGGAAGTTTAGGATCAGGTCTGGCCCTTAGGTTTCTCCTAAATTGGCTAGATGTAGTTTCTTTATAAATGGCCCAAATGGGTGCCACTTCCCACTTTGGGGATTACTTCAGATTGTTCTCTGATAACATCCATCATCGTGTTTCATATTTATATGACACAGGTGCAGTAGACTCTTGTGGCCCAGTTCTCCCAGAACTGATTAAATGGGACAGATTGATTTGTGCTTGTGTTTTGATGGAGAAGCATGCCCCACCTACTTTCTTAGAAAATAATTGTAGTTTGTATGTAATCATTCTTGAGCTTAAAAGCAATCCCACTATTTGTAGGATAATCAGACCTTTCGAGAATTCGTCCTTTTTTTTTTTTTTTTTTTTTAAAGAACAGGTAGGATTTTACAGATGATTATCACTCTTATCTTGAAATTTAAAGAGAGATGGAGGGACACTTGGGTGGCTCAGAGGTTGAGCGTCTGCCTTTGACTCAGGACGTGATCCCAGTCCAGGGCAAGTCACACCTAGGGCTCCCTGTGAGGAACCTGCTTCCCCCTCTGTCTATGTCTTCGCCTCTCTCTCTGTCTGGGTGTCTCTCGTGAATAAATAAAATCTTTAAAAATGAATGAATGAATTTGAGATGGAACTTGGGAAGCGGAATACTATCAAGTATCAGTTTTTTAATAAAATTTCCATCTACAAAACGTGCAAATACAGGATTGGTATAGAGACTAAGTGTCTAGCTCAGTACCTGATCTGTAGGGAAGGACAAAATACGAAGGGCTTATCAAGAGTTCACAACTGCCCATTTGGAGCAAGTTTTATCTGAACTTTATCAGTGGTCAAATGTGGGGGTACATGGTAGGCAAACATGGGCATGGAGTAATTGGGTGAATTTCTAGTGCTTTCCTGCATGCCCTGGGGTATCTTAAAGGACACCTTTGCCCCTTTCAATGGAAGGGGAAAGTAAGAGCCTTTGTGGAAAAAATGTCAGTTTTTTGTTTTTTAATGATTTTTAGCTATATATATTAATATTTTGAATCTTTTTTCTTTATAGATAGTGAAAGAAAAATTTGCTATGGTAGCACCAGATGTCCAAATTGAAGATGGGAAAGGAACAATCCTAATATCTTCAGAAGAGGGAGAGACAGAAGGTATTAATACATTGCGTTTATTCACTCCCCTCATTGGATGGAATCTGTGTACATGAAGAAGTAACATTAGTTTGTCTGTTTACGGTACACATTACTTGGTATCACAGCTGAAAGGGGCAATATTTGGTCATGGAAGTGCTCTTCCAAGGTGGCACTGCCTTGCTGGGATCACATTTTCAGATTTGAGGACTCCCATGTTGTCAGGGTATCTCAGGGACTGTCAGGAACCCTGTGAATGGTTAGGTTTATAGTGACCATGAACAAGGAACCATCTTGCCTGTCTCATGGATCCTGGGAGCTAAATTAGTAATGTGAAGATTGCTCTGGCTATTAAGGTAGGAAGGATAATTTAATGCTATTAGGTGTTTTGTCCAAGAGCAGAGAAGCCTTCATAGACCGCTATAGAGCAGAAAGTAATGCTGAAAATCCATGCCCACTTTTGTTTTAGGCTTTCTTTTTCAAAAGTTCAGGCAGGTCGGGGCACTTAGGTGGTGTGGTCTGTTAAGTGTCTAGTTCTTGTTTTGGCTCAGGTCATGATCCTGGGGTCGAGGGATCGAGCCTGAGATTATGGGATCCAGCCCTGTGTCAGGCTCTGTACTCAAGCAGAGTCAGCTTGGGATTCTCTCTCCCTCTGCCCTTCCCACTTGTGTTCTCTGTCTCTCTAAAATAAATCTTCCCAAAAAAAAAAATAGTTTAAACAGGTCATCCTGTTTAATGCATTTGTTGTACAAAGTGCGATGCATTTGATTCTGTTTAAGCTTAGAACTGATAATAATTGGGGATCCCTGGGTGGCTCAGCGGTTTAGCGCCTGCCTTTGGTATAGGGCGTGATCTGGAGTCCCGGGACCGAGTCCCACATCCAGCTCCCTGCATGGAGCCTGCTTCTCCATCTGCCTGTCTCTCTCTCTCTCTCTCTCTCTCTCTCTCTCTCTCTCTCTTTCTGTGTGTGTGTCTCATGAATAAATAAAATCTTAAAAAAAAACCCCTGATAGTTCCCTTACCTCTTCGGTCACTTTAGCAGCTCATTTTCTTGGGCTACCACTTGAGTTGATTTCACCACATCCACAATTTTATCAGTGTACCATTACTTTGAAAATCTGGGTGTTTTCCCCAAATGTGTGATGTGTGTATTCACACATTTGTTCATTGATTATTTATTCAGGACAGTTTGCCAGATTCTGATGGGGTTATTCAAATGTCGAGCCTTTACATTAAAACTTAGTGTCAGGATTCTTCTTGACTATAGTTTTTTGTCAAGAACTTGTTCAAGGCCATGTTTTGCATAGGTTTATTCTAAATATCTGGTTGAATATATTTAACACCCCATTTTAGCCGGCTGTCTTTACTCACAGAAAGTTTGTGATTATATATTCTCCCCTTGGTTCTCTGGTACTGACCAGCTCTTTCAAGTGCTAGGACTTTAAAGGGTTTTTTTGGTTTTTTGGTTTTTTTAATCTATTAGAGCACAGCTGGGCAGGTGGAGAGGAACAGACAGAGGTAGAAGGAGAAGCAAAATCCCTGCTGAGCAGGGAGCCGGGCATGGGGCTCAATCCCAGGCAAGCCCTTGGGATCATGACCTGAGGCGAAGGCAGATGCTTAACCAACAGCCACCCAAGCACCTTCACAAATACTAGGACTTTAAAAATGGAAACTGGCCAAGAATCTCAAGTGACTAGACTGGCCCTTCTCCACAAAATACATGTGCTACTGAGGGAGAGAACATATATTCAAATATTTTGTATCCGTCTGTGTTATAAGTATGGTCCTAGGTGTTTATGATTCAAGAATGAATAAGGAAGATAGTGGTCCCTGTCTTGAGGTACTCTATAGCCTGGAAGGAGAGGAGAGATGATCAAGTGGGTTTAATACAGTCTAACTATAGGAAGAGAGCATATAAGGTAGGAATTGAAGCCTTGTGAGACGAGGAGAGGGGTCACATGAGAAAGGACTCTGGGTCAGTTCTTAGATGGAAAGGTGCTCTGGGCAGAGAAAGGAATGACTGCATTTGGGCAGAATCGGCAGCCTTTATAAATAAACGTGTGAACTAGTGAAACAATTTTGGAATCGCCAGTTACTTGTTTTACTGGAAAGTGGAGTGCTGTGTGGTTGGCAGTGGTGGCACAGCTGGAGGGCTTCCTGTGCCATGCTGGTGACATTGTTTGCCGTCCCGTCCCCCAGGGCCATGCTCCCACCAGAGTTTATAAGCAGGGAAGTAATGTATTATAGGAAGAAAAAAATGAAAGTAGTGAGGGATGTTTACTAAGGCAAAAGCAAATGAAAGAGTTGAAATTTACAGTCAGAGTTCAGGGGCCAGGTGAGGAGAAATAGCATTGTTGGGCAGATGAGGACTATCACAGGACTCTGGCTTCAGAGATGATATGCTAATTGACCAGAATAGAACGCATAGTAACTGCTTCTCTTTCAGACATGTTGGGTCTGAGGAGTTAGTGTTGAGAGGGGAATGTGTGAAAGGGCTTGAAGATTAAGTCTTAGGTAGGAGCTATCATTCTCTGAAGGCGTCTCAGGTAGCTTAAAAAGTTAAAATAAGAAAAATCAATCTGTAGGGGTACCCCACTGACTCAATCAGTAGAGCATGCAGTTCTCAATCTCATCTCAGAGTCACGAATTTGAGCCCCACATTAGGCATAGAGTTTACTTAAAAAAGAAATCTGTAAAATTAGAAACTCAGTAGTTTCTGGGTTTCAGGGTCAAGTAGGGAGGATTCTTTCTAAGCATTTTCCTTATAAGCAACAAAAAAATAAAGCATTATTAGATTGTATAGAGAATCACATAAATTTAATGATGGAGGACTAGAATTTAAAATACAGTCTACTTAGTATGTGCCACACACTACATAGGTCAGCAGGTTCTATACGGTGTGTGTCCCTCACAGAGCAGATGTTTAATAAAGTGCACTCTGGTGATAAGGGGGTGAAATTGAGAGCAAACTGAGGAAGCAGTTTTGTAAATGATACCTGAGTACTTTTACTGGTCCAGGGAGAGGAACATTTGAACAGGCAGGAGAGAAAGGATAATTAAGGCAGAAAGACCCAAGAATAGGGAGGGTGAGGTGGTGGGGACATCAAAAGTTTGGTTCAAGGAATTGTTCTTCATTGAAGTATCTATAAACCATGGAGCAAAGGTTTATTCAGTGCTAGTGGGTGTTAGGGACTGTGCTGCATGAAGCAGAAATATTCACATGAACCAGAAATGACATGTGGAAGCTGAAACCAGATTGGAGTGATTATTTTTGGGAGGTCCCATAGGCTTGTCATTGAGAAATGTTGAAAATTCATGTTGAGAAATGGAAATCCATTCAAATCAACAAAGTTGTCTCATATTTCTGAATTTTAAAATTTGCTGAAAAGTAGTTTTTTAAGTTGTTGTGGATAACCTCTCTGCAAGTAGACTATATTTTGAACAACACTAAAAGTTGTCTTTGACGCCTCTAGGAGTCCAGAATAATTTGGTTTGAATGGGAGAATGTTGTCAGAACTTCTTACAGTTTGGTTCTTTTGAAGCAGTTTTAGTTGTTGAGTATTAACTCGGGGCTGAATTTTTAAGTGCCTAATATTTTAGTGATTAGTTCACTTGGGCCACCATTCAAAAATACACAGAGTAACTTAAATAACATTTATTTTCTCATGATGCTGGAGGCTACAGGTTGTAAGATCAAAATGTGCGCAGGTTTGGTTTCTCTTGAGGTCTCCTTGGCTTCTTACAAGGATTCCACTTAGATTGGATTAGGGCCAACCCTAATAGCCTCATTATAACTTAATTACCTATTCAAAAAGAAGGCACTGTTTCCAAATACTGTCACATTCTGAGGTACTGGGGTTAAGGCTTCAACATAGGAATTTTGAGTGGGTGACACAATTCAGCTTATAATAGGAGTTTAATCTTTTTTAAACTAATGTGACTGCTCCATGGAAATCTTAAGTGAAGTATCTAAATTCCTTTCCAATTTCTTAGCTAATAATCACAAAAAGCTGTCAGAATTTGGAATTAGAAATGGGAGCCGGCTTCAAGCAGATGACTTCCTTCAGGACTACACTTTATTGATCAACATCCTTCATAGGTAGGAACTATTGATATATTTTTAAGTGTAATAAATTATCTGAATATAAAAACGTAAAGTAGAGAAAAAAAGTTTTCTTACTGTTAAGCCCTACTCTTCATTTGAAACCACACAATATATTTGCTTGAGTTGGCTGCTAAGTTCCCTGATGCTTGACCTATAGAAGAATCTGAGAATTCAGAAACAGAAGGGATAGGCAAAACTAAAATAAAAACTTCTTATTTTAAAGATTTCTCTGAAGAAAGAAAGAAATCTTTGTCCAGTAAAACAAATATTTCGTTTGTGATCTGTAACAATAACAAGACATTTTAAGATTATCCTATAGAGATTATTGAATCATTTGTTTTTTTTTATTTGATTTAATGTCTTGCCCATTTTATAAAAAAACATTCGTATTCTTGCATTACAGAATGTTTGCATATATATAACACAGTTAAAATACGGATGGTCCTCCATTTTGATGTGGTTAGCTGTCGAATAAGGTGCATTTTTTTGTGTGTATGTTCCCGTTGGTACACCTTAACTACACCCTGACTTAGGACTTTTGGATACCATCTAACCAACAGGAAAGGGGTTGCTACCTGCATCCACTTGTTTGGCTAATGTTGCCGTCTATGAATTTAAAGAATGTGTAGCTGTTTGGAGGATATCATATTTTATATACTTGGTTTATAAAAAATATAAATGACAAGAAAGACTGAATGTGAGTTATTGGTAGTAAGTACTGCATTTTACAAAGCTAGGCATGCCTCGTGGCTCAGCTGGTTGAACATCTGCCTTCTGCTTAGGTCTGGTCCCAGGTCCTGGGATTGAGCTCAGCGGGGAGTCTGCTTCTCCTATCTCTGCCACTCCCCTTGCTTGTGCTCTTTATCTCTATTAAATAAATAAAAATTTTAAAAGAAAAAAGTTTCATAAAGTTAGACAATGGAGTCAAAGACTGAAAAGGCTTGGGAGTGATCTCTAGCCTCAAACACCGTTGGATACCAATGGTGTGCTCGTGTTCAATTATACAAGAAAACAATGGAAGGACATGTTACAATAAAATGGAAATATATCAGATGGTGTCTAAAGAGGAGGCATAATTAGGGTTTTTTTTTTTATCATATTTTTTAGCTCTCTGGGAACAGAACCCCCCCCTTAAAACATGTAAGTCTTTTGCTTGACTTTCATGCATTAAACTTTCATACATGTTTTTGGGAACTCATTACAAAAGCAGGGTGCTGCCTGTAAAGATGGGGGGGAAACCCAGAGTCCATGTAACCGCCCTATTCCTAAAACACCAAATTACTCTGGTCAAGATCAGAGTGGAATATATAGAATCTTTAAACATAGTAGCCGAAGAAATAATGCCTAAAAGATATATTGGGTTGCGGAGTTCTGAATTTCATTTTCTGCTCTACCAGTAAAAGTTACATAATACTGTTTTAAAAATCTTTTTCTTGATCTGAAGGGGCAGTGGTACTGGCCATCTGAGAGTTTTGAATTTCACAAAAATTTGTTAATGTGCAGTCTAATTTTTATTTTATTAGCTCTTTGAAAATCAGGATCCGTATATTTGGTGTGTACATCGTACATGCACTTAGAGCTTAACAGTGTCTTTCTGGTGTGCTTTTGCTATCCTCTATAGTCATGGTGGTCCAGTTTTACATTGTGTCATTCTTTTGCAGTGAGGACCTAGGGAAGGATATTGAATTTGAAGTTGTTGGTGATGCCCCAGAAAAAGTGGGGCCCAAACAAGCTGAAGATGCTGCCAAAAGCATAACTAATGGCAGTGACGATGGAGCTCAGCCTTCCACGTCCACTGGTGAGTCACGGCCCCAGCCAGCCAGCACTTTAATTACCCACCAAGCAAGCAAGTCATTATGTAGAAACAAATGGATTATTTTACAAATAAGACCATAAAACAAATCCACAGGACTGTTAGAGGTGTGTATTGATTTGGCATTGTTTTAATAGAGCTTTGTATGTATGAACCATGAACATATTTAAGTCTAGGGGAAATTCTTATGGAAAACAGGAACTGTTCTTTTTTGTTAGTGGGTTTTTACAACTGGAAATGTTAATGAGTGTACTAGTGCATGAAGACACTTAATTTTTCATAGTAGTAGTTTTGGATTTTGTATGCCTGTTTTATTTAGGGAAACAAATCGATGCATCTGACTATTTTGAGTGAACAGATGCTGTAAATAGAGAATTAAGCATTTCAGTTTTCTCGGAACTGTTATGACTTTGGTAAAGTGCATCAGAGGCTGTTTCCCTCCACAGTCAGTGCTAGTGCTTGGTGCTTTGCTGTGTGCTCAGATTTGGATGTTTCCTCAACCTGCATCCCACAGCAGCCTCCCTTCATTCTTTACTCAGGAAATTAAATTTCTACTTCTCTGTTTCCATTTCTTTAACCCTGTGTCTTTGGTGTTCTTTGGAATATGGTTGTTCTTGGTTCTTATGTTCTCTGAGAACTTTTTAAAGATAGACTTTGAGACTAGCTAGAGTGTAGTCCACCTATGAGCCATGACCTTTCTTCCCCTCCAAAAATAGAAAAAGTCTTTCATTCTCCTGTAAGGAAGGGACTTTGGTAGTTTTTCAGAAACCATAAATTAAAATGTGCATTCACTGATCCCTTACTGTGGGTTGGTTTGGGAGGCTATAGCAATGAGTAAGGTAGGTAGGTACTCTGTTTTTGCTTTGGTGGGGATGGAGGATGGGGTGGGGGTGGTTCATGAAACCAACTGTAGTGTAAGGTTAAGAGCATGCACTGTAGAGCCCACTGTGTGGATTTGAGTCCTGGCCTCATCTTCTGCTATTGTATGACCTTGGGCAAGTCAATCTCTGTACGTCAGTTTCCTTTTCTGGAAAACGGATAATAATGTTATCTTCTTTATAGGGTTGTTGTGATGATTAAATGAGTTGTTATATGCAAAGTGCTCAGAACAGTTCCTGGCACATTGTAAGTGCTATATATATGTTGTTGTTGTTGTTGTTTTATTATTATTATTATTATTACCACCACTCAGTATTAGGATATGCACCTTCCCCTTTTCTGTTGGAGAAATAGAAAAAAGGAACTATGATAATTTGAGTTCTATAATGCTTGTTACAGTTTTTTTTTTTTTTTGTTTAGATTAGAAAACAAGTAGGTGCTTGTTACAGAAAACATTAAAACAGTACAGAGACGTGTAATGTGTAAAGTGAAGATTCCCTACGGGTGGCCTACCATTCTTAAGTTTGGTATATATTAAAAATGCCAGCTTTTCACTTTCATAAAATATTAGTGAATCACTAGTAACTCCCACTCCACTTTTAACCATTTTTCCCTTTTTTCTGAAATAAGCACAAGAGCAAGATGATGTGCTCATAGTTGATTCAGATGAAGAAGGTCCTTCAAATAATGCTGACATCAATGAAGAAGAGAGAAGTCGCAAGAGGAAATTAGATGAGAAAGAGAATATCAGTGCAAAGAGGTCCCGCACAGAACACACAGAAGAGCTTGATGATGTGATAGCATTAGATTGAACAGCTGCCTCTAAACAGGACCCTCTTACTGCAGTAGGTCATCTGGGCAGAACCAGGTTATTTGTTACGTACTTTGTTCCAAAGGGAAAAAATTGACACCAGTGACTCGAAGATGATTCTGCTCCTTTGGAAAGCTTTCATTTTGCTAGAACAATTAGAAACATTGCGGTATGCGGTATTGAAAGTAGGAATATAGTTTTAAAGCCCTTTGAACAAAGTGTGTGCATAACCAGTCATGAGATGAAACAACACAATGCATGTTGCCTTTTTAATGTAAATACCCTTAGGTATCATTTAACAGTTTTAAAATATTGTGGTTTAGTAAAGTTGATACCTGGTTATAAATATTATGCCTTTATTTTTGGTTAGAAGAAGAATTATTTTTAGCCTAGATCTAACCATTTTTCATACTCTTAACTGACTGAAACAGATTCAAAGAAGTATCAAGTGCTATGCATTGAAACGTGTTTTTAAATGTTACCTGGCACTATGTATATTAATGTAAAACAATGTTAATTTACTCAAGTTTTCAGCTTGTACTGCCTGGTGTGTCTGTGTAAGAAGCCAATTTTGTGTATTGTTACAGTTTCAGGTTATTTATATTTGATGTTTTGTAGAACTCAAATACAACTATACTGTACTTATGGACCAAATAAATGGCATCTGCATACTTGTTATACATGCCTGCATAGTTCACGTTTCTGCTGCCTTAGTGGGTTTATATATTACTGCAGGCATGCTAAATTCTTTCCTTCTAAAAACTTAACTCCTAATGGATATGAAGGTTAAATGATCTCCACTGTTTGCCATAGATGAGTACTTTCTAAAATAAAACTTTAAATGGCAGTGTTGCTTTTTAAGTTTGGATTGCAAACAACTGGCCTTCTGTTGAGAACATTAAGTGATTTTTGCCCAGCCCCGGGAACTTAGAACCTTGGATTTGAGATTCCAGAGCAGGGGAGAGTCTTCTTTATTCTACAGTCTTCTCTGGGTTGCCCCTCCCCCCCCCCCACCCTCAATTCATCTGAGTCCCTTCTTGAGTGTGTACCATTTAGGGCCCAACTCCAGCCTACATATGTGGCCAGACCAGCACTGGATGGATCAGCATCCCTGTCTCTGCCGCTGGCCTCAGAGGACCTTGGCCCTTAGGGGGTACTCTCCTCACACAGATGTGCCTTGAGTTTTTAGATAACAGAAACCCCTGGAGTTGTTTTCCCCCATTCTATACCCCGATCTTCGGTGGTTTTGGCTGCAGTCGATTAAATTTCAAGTTATTGGTTCATCATTTTGTTCTCCTTTGTATAGTTCTTACTCTGCCATCTAGGTTATTAACTCTTACTCCTTGTTTTGTATCATTTGTAAATTCAGCATGTAATCAAAGCCTTCAGAAAAATCATGTTGAACAAGACTCCGCCCTCAGGAGCTGCCGCTTGATGCCTGCAGGATGGACTGACTTCCAGCCTTCAGATACAGCACTGAGCTAGCTGAATCCCCACCTACAACTGTATGAGTGTATGAGGTTCTCTTTGCCTTTAGAGTCTTACAAGATGTTCCATTTTCCTCCAGGGGAAAAAAAAATCTCAAAATTATAAAACTATGTAACAGACGATAATGAAATATTCTGGAAATCCACCTCTCAGAAATGTTTCGGTTAACTGGTCGGTCACTGGTGATCATGTTCAATTTTGAAATTCCATTCCTAAAACCTCATACTACCCTTTTAGACTTCATTATCAATGTATTTTTCCAGCATTTTATATATTTCTTTTATTCTTTTCCATTTATATGTACATGGCAGTAAATGCCAGTTTGACCTGTAGAGTGAGGTTTCTGTTTTGGGAGACCAGTGTTTTGTTTTTGTTTTTTTTTTAACCTCTGCAACAACTCTTATAACTATCTTTTCCAGCAGGTTCTGTCCATTTTGTACCTGTTTCTATAAAATCAGGGTTTATCAGCAAGGCAGGTCCAATGCAAGGGACCCAGTAGACTGAGCAGATCCAAGCTGCCTCCACACCCCTGGAGCATGGAGACACTTTAGATGTGGCCTGGTATTGGTGGTTCTCCTGTGCAAGTTGTCTTCTCAGTTGGGGAGCTAGATGCAGAACTCGTCAGGGGCCTTTCCCCAGCAGCTCTGTCCTGAAATACAGTCTGAAAACCATCTTCCAGCCTTAATGGGAACAGTCTGGTGATTCAGGTTTACCATCTAGTCTATCGTCCCAAAGATCAGTCTGCGTACTGCATACTTGGCATGCATGAGAGGACTTGGTGTTTTAACATAGAGCCTGACCCTTTAACCAAGCAGACATCAGTGGATGCCAAAACCTTTCATAAAAAGTTGTGGATGGGATCCCTGGGTGGCGCAGCTGTTTGGCGCCTGCCTTTGGCCCAGGGCGCGATTCTGGAGACCCCGGATCGAATCCCATGTCGGGCTCCCGGTGCATGGAGCCTGCTTCTCCCTCTGCCTGTGTCTCTGCCTCTCTCTCTCTCTCTGTGACTATCATAAAATAAAAAAAAAAAATTAAAAATAAAAAGTTGTGGAGGAACAGAATCTTTACGGTGCTCAGGTGTTGCTGTACAGAGAACTTGCAGAAGGGAAAAAAAGAAAAAATCAGCTTTTGACCATGTGCTGGTCTTGTCACCACTGTATTCGCCTACTCAGACCTGGCATCAGGAACGGGACAACGGGACGTGTGCTTCCCAATGAGATGATAGACTCAGCAGCACGGAGACAAAAACCATGTTAACATGAACCTAATGCAGCATCTAGACGTAACTTCCAGCTGGCAGGAAATGGGGGGGCGGGTAAGAGGAGCAAGCTAAACATTAGGAAGAAACGGACAAGTACAGAATGTGGGATGTTCTCGAACTCAAGTTCAACATACGTGACTTTAGCAATTCTTGTGACAATTGGAAATGGGATATGGTGGTCATAGAAGTATTTTTTTAGGTATGGTAACGTCCTTGTACTTTTGTAGGCCAGTGTCTTTATTCTTCGAATATTAGGGATGAAGCTTCATAACAACTTTTAAATGGCTCAGCAAAATACACAATACAGGAAGAAAAAGATGAAGTTACCCATTTACTGAATCTAGGTGGAGCCTATATATGTTCATTGTACTATCCAACTTTTCTCTGAAAGCCTTCGTAATAAAAGTGGAGAGAGATATATATAGTCTGTATTTTCCTTCTGTGCCTATGTGACTTTCAAGTTTTGTAATGAATATATCCTATGATTTAAATCAGAAAGGCAATAAAGATTATTAAAAATATAAGTTGGCATGAAAAAGTGTTGCAGTGATTCCTGGGTCCAAGATTGATGAAGTCCGCTTTGTTCATTCTTGTTGCTAGGCTGTGATTTAGGAAGAATTCTCTCTCATTTGGTCCTCCAGAGAACTCAGAAGAGAGCCAAGTTGCTTCCAGTAGATTAATGGTTCAGTTAGAAGTCCCAGAAAACATTTGGTTCATAATAGATGTTCCTGGAAATTGCCCATGGGTGGCACACATGTCTAAGTGGACTTGCTCTGTGGCCAAAGAACATTGGCAGATGTAAGCTTCCTACTAGCCTTTTGTAACGTACAGAAAATAGAAACTTAAAAGGAAGTAAAGGAAAACCCAAATCGGGAGAAAATGTGACAGATGTTTCTAGTCACTGTGACTTGGGGAAGGAGTAAAGGCCTGGAATCTCCATTTGACCATTTGCAGGAGGATATATTTAGAGAAGTATTTTTATAGACCCTTTCATGCTGGGAATACATTATTTGCATTCTGCACACACAACTTTTTTCCCCTGCATCTAATTTAAAATAAATTCCAGCCCAAAGTTTGAGAAATTTTTGAACTGTTCTCAATAAAAAAGATCATCTGAGTTGAACTACAGAACTGTGATGATGCTGTGCAGTTTGACTCTCCTGAAGATCTGTTTTCCTGATAAAATAACATTTTGGGCGGGTTTGCTGAATATCTGACTCAGCTTTACAAACTCTAAATCTGGGACGCGTGGGTGGCTCAGTGAGCGTCTGCCTGTGGCTCAGGTCGTGACCCTGGGGGTCCCGGCATCGAGTCCCGCATCAGCCTCCCAGCACAGAGCCTGCCTCTCCCTCTGCCTGTGTGTCTGCCTTGTTTGTCTTATGAATAAATCTCTAAAAAAATTAAAACCTTCAATCTTGCAGCAAGTGATGCCTTACACAGGAAAGGGCTCTGAGGAAAATTTTACTAGAAGTACAAGTGCTCCAAGTAGGTCCCTCGGGCTTTTACTTTGAAACACACCAACAGTTCACGTTCTCAGGTCAGTCCGTCTCAGAAAAGTGTACTCCTTGTGCACGCTGTCACCCACTTGTCCTATAAACGTGTATTGCATCCCTACTCTGCACTATGCTACACTTAGAAGACCTTGCCAACCTCGCCAGCCTGGGTAGAAATCTTTGAAAGCAGTAAGACACTTAAGGGCTGGAGTTCACAGAAACTTAACTTCTTACCTACGCAGCAAGAGGTGGTGGGTTGGGGTTCCCGTGTGTTGTCCAGCTTCCCAGTTGCTCCTGTCAACTTCTAGCAGCACTAAAAGTCATGAACACCCAACTTCCTGCTCAAAAATGTGATAACGGACGCCTGGGTGGCTCAGCAGTTGAGCATCTTCCTTTGGCTCAGGGGGTGATCCCGGGGTTCCGGGACGGGGTCCTGCGTTGGGTTCCCTGCAGGGAGCCTGCTTCTCCCTCTGCCTGTGTCTCTGCCTCTCTCTTTGTGTCTCTTTGTGTCATGAATAAGTAAAATGTTTACCAAAAAATATAACAAATCTGTACGAAGCAGCATCCCCAAATGTCCCGGCCCATGGAACTGCAGATGGCTGGGAGTTGGCCCCGGACAAAGTTTGTGTACAGATTCCCTTTCCTGGAAGCAGGGCAAGATAGTAAAGTAAAGGTCATTCCAAGGTGGCCACTTTCTCCCCGATGAAGGAAGCAAGCTGTGATCATCGGATCGTAACCCTAATTGTTAGACTGGGGAGCCAAGCCTGTCCATGGTTTCAGCTGTCAATGCTTTGACCCTCCTGTGTCCCTGAAGGGGATACCAGGACCAGGGGAAATCGGTGGACGCCAATCTGATTGGAAGAGCCGGGCCTCCAAGGAGAAGATGGAAAAATCCCAGTAAGCTCCCAGTAAGATGTCCTGCCAGGAGAGGAGCATCGCAAAGAACACACCTTGGGTCTGGGGCTGCGTGGGAAGACTGGCTCTTCGGAGCTGAGCCCGAGAGGTACGGTGGCCTTCCCCACTGCTCTCCCCAGGAAGTACTGTTTTTCGAGGGTAAAGATTGTTGCAGGCTGGAGAGAGAGAGAGGAGTGGATCCCAGGAACTCCTCCACGGGGAGTTTGGCCATGTGCCGCCATCCCTCTTCCCTAGGAACCCAAGTTCAACAGCCACACCTGACTGGCATCTGAGTGTGTCCTAAGACTGGGGAAACTCCTGACTTGTGTCCATAATGGGGGTCCAGACAATACAGACACTACAGGGGGTCTGAGGGAAGCCAGATTACAAGGAGAGACGGGGGGGGGGGGGGGGGGGATCTTGAAGTCCCCGTTAGTGTAGACCTTCTGTGTAGGATCGGCCTCTGGGGAATTGGAAGGAAAAAAGACTACGGTTTAGGACTTGGTGTGAAACTAGACTGAACATGCCCTGAGTGTGTCCCCATCCCCGGAGCATGGGATGAGAGGCAGACAGAACCCCACAACTGTGTGGTGAAACTTCAACAGCATACCCCAGGGAGTGGCAGGTAGCACCGGCTCCTACTAGCTTCGGAGGGGTGATTCGACTCCTTTCTTCCCCACTCCACGCAGTAACACGTTTGAAATTGCCCACGGTCGTATTGCTGAATGCTACAAACCGGGGCTCCCGGTAGGTACGATTCTCCCCAGGAGCACTGGTCGTTGAACACCTCTCAGCACACCCCCGGGCCCAGGAAGGAAGAGGCCGCAGAGAGAGGTGAACGCGGAGAACACCCCTACGTCGGGGGAGGGCGGAGAGGGCCTTAGCGGAGGCGGGAGCCAGAAAGCAGACATTTCAGATGGTTTGTGGGCGTTCGTTACCCATTAATTAATTAATTACCATTAGAGCAAGCAATGTGAGTCGGCTGACTCCAACACGCTGCTGAAAGCTGGTCGAAGGCTCTGGTTGGGCAGGTGGGGATGAGAGTTAAGAGCTACCTGTGAGGCCGGAGAGGGCCTTTTCAGCAGGCCAGACGTCCCGGGACTGGAAAGACTACGTCAAGAGTAGGACAGACACTTCTGTGCTTGCATCACCGTCTGCAGTTTGGACTCCTTCTCCAGAACAGTCTCGAGCATCACTGCGCATAAGAGCGCTTTGGTTTGTCGATGACCCTGCTAAGGCCGTGGAATCGCCCCTGCTGACCGGAGGCACCCGCTACCCTCACGCGGTGACACGCATGCCCGCCGGGCCACAGTCTTGCCAAGGCTCCCCTTTTTAAATAGGAGGTAATGTGGTGGGTGACAGGCGATGTCGCGTTGGCCATTTGAATTCGCTGGCCTTCGAGTGGAGATCATTTTTCATGGGATGGCTCCTCTGGGTATTTGCTCCCCCAAAACGCTTGCGTCCACCTGCACCTGCCCCCCACCCCGAGCTCGGCTGCCTCGCACCGTCGAGGCCCGAGGTGCCCCCTGGTCAAGCTGCGCCACCACGGTCCCCACCCAGGCTCCCTGCCTCCCCCGACCTTCCTGAAACTCTCTGAGCCTTTGGGGGGGGGGGCGGTTCCTGCCAGAGAGAGAGAGAGAAACCCTTCCCCCCTCGAGTGGTTTTCCTGAGTCCACAGCAGGTCGCGGAGCGTGACGTTCGCTCTTCCCTGCGAGCTGCTTGGAGTACGCCACAAGGGCTTTGTAGCTTGTGTTTGGGGGGACGGAGCCCTGGTCACCCCTCGCTCACCTCCCTCCCTCCCGGCGAGGTCCCCAGGGCCCCACCGTGTCCCAGGGCCTGCCTCCTTGGCGCCCCCCAAAGGCTCTGAGGGCGGCTGGGGGGAGAAGGGGGTGCCCCGCCCCGCCTGTGGCCCCCACCTCTGGGCTCCCCGCCCCCGCGGAGCTTGAGCCTGCTTCCGGCCGGCCTGGGGGTGGGGGTGTGGGTGGGTGAGGGTGTGGGTGGGTGAGGGGGTGAGGGTGTGGGGGTGAGGGTGTGAGGGTGTGTGGGGGGTGAGGGGGGATGGGGGTGGGTGGGGGTGAAGGGGATGGGGGTGGGGGTGTGAGGGGGGTTGGGGGGTGGGGGTGAGGGTGGGGTGGCGGTGGGGACCCTGCGCACTGCGGCCCCCACCGGCCCGGCCTCCAGCCCCCCCTCCCCCCCGCCCGGGGCCGTTGCGCCGCCAGGGGTCCGTCGAGGGCCCGGGGTCCTCGGGGTCCTCCGGGGTCCTCCGGGGTCCGGGGGCGGCCGGCGCCGGCGAGGCGGAGGGGCCGTCGGTGCCCGCCGCCCGGAGCCCGCCCGGAGCCCGCCCGGGGCCCGCCGCCGCCGCCGCCGCCGCCGCCACTCCCCCCGCATTCCTCAGGCCGCAGCGCCGTGTCCTTCCTCGCATTCCTCCCCCACAAAGGAGTCCCTCCGCCCCGCCGCCGCCGGGGAGGGCGCGGCCCGGGCTCGCAGGGCGCCTCCCGCCGCCGCCGCCGCCGCCGCCGCGCGCGCCTCCCCGCGGAGCCCGCGGCCCCCGGAGCGACCCCGGCCCGCGCGCGCCCCGCCCCGCCCCGCGCCCAGGGCTCCCGGGGCGGGCTCCGGGCTCGGGGCGGACGATGCGGCGGCGCGGCCGGAGCGGCGGCGGGAAGCGGAGGCGGAGGTGACGCGCCGGGGCCGCGGGCCGGGCCATGCAGCGCTCCCGGGCGGCCGCGGACCAGGCGGCCCTGCTCCTGGCCGGGCTGGCCCTGCGGGAGCCCGAGCCCGGCGGCGCCTCCCCGGGCCGGGGGCGGTGGGGGCCGGGGCCGGGGCCGGGGGACGAGGCGGCGCCGAAGCCGGGCCGCAGGGGGAAGGGCGGCGGCGGCCCCGAGGCCGCGGCGGACGCGCCGAGCCGCCCCGAGCGAGGCCCGCGGCGCACGGCGGCCGCCGAGCTCCCGGCGCAGCCCGCGAGCAGCCCGAGGGCCAGCCTGGCGGCCTCCGACGGCGGCAGCGCGCGCTCCAGCGGCATCAGCCTGGGCTTCGACCAGCGCCACGGCAGCCCGCGCTGCGGCCGCCCGGACCCGCGCCCCGGCCCCGGCCCCGGCCCCGGCCCCGGCCCCGGGCCGCCGTCGGGGGGCAGCGCGCGCTCCAGCGTGTCCAGCCTCGGCTCCCGCGGCTCGGCCGGCGCCTACGCCGACCTGCTCCCGCCCGGCGCCGGGCCCGCGCCCGCGCCCGCCCGCTCCCCGGAGCCCGCGCCGCCCGCCGCCTTCCCGCTGCCCGCGCTGCAGCTGCCCGCGGCCCGGGACGGCGGCCCGAGCGCGGCCGAGCGGAGGCTGGAGGCGCTGACCCGCGAGCTGGAGCGGGCGCTGGAGGCGCGCACGGCGCGGGACTACTTCGGTGAGCGGCGGGCGGCGCGCCGGGGGGGGGGCGGGGGGGGACCCGCGGAGGCCGGTGGGGGGGGGGACCCGCGGACCGGGGTGGGGGGCAGGCCCGGGGAGGACCCGCGGAGGCCGGGGGGGGGACCCGCGGACCGGGGGGGGAGGCCCGGGGAGGCCGGGGGGGGGGACCCGCGGAGGCGCCCGCCGTTCCCGGGGTAGGTCGTGGCCGGGCGCGGAATGAGCCGCCCGCGCGGATCGTGCCTCCCTAGCCCTTAGCGCGGGCCTCCGCGCGGCCTGCACCCCGCCAGCCCCAGCCGGGTGGGGACCCGCCGTCCCGGGCCCCCGGCGCCCCCGCGGTGCGCGGACTGGACAGGCGGGGGGGGGTGCGGGGAGGGACGGGAAGGGGCCCAGGCCGGCCCCCCGCTGCCCCTGCTCCGCGCTCGCGGAGCCCACGGTCCCTGGCCCGCACCCCCCAGGCCGACCCTGGCCCGCGATCCCTAGTTCCTTGGAGACCTCGTAGGAGCCTCCCTGCGTCGCTGAGAGGGAAGCAGGAAGACGAGGCACCTGGCCGGGGTGGGGGTGGGGGTGGGGGTGGGGGTGGGGGTGGTTCTCCCGCCCGACGCCTCCGCTCGTCCGTGTGCTTCGTGCGTTTGCTTCGTGCGCAGCCCAGGACCGTCCCGAGCTGGATCTCGACACAGGAGGGTGTGTAGGGGCCAGGCCAGGCCTGGGGGACAGTCCAGGCGGAGGAAGAGTGTGAGCCGGGGAGGCGGGGAGCCCTGCGCTGCACCCCTGGCTCCCAGGGTGGCCGCCTGGGAGGGCCCAGGTGTTCAAGGGAGTGACTGGGCCACGGGTGGGTCGCCTTTGGGAGGGGCCGCCAGGAAGGGTTTCAGGCCCTTCGGGGGGTGGGGCGTTGGGGTGAGAATCTGCGGTTTGGTAGGTCTTGTGGCAGCTGTCAGGTGGCGTTGGGAGCGCAGAGATGGGCGAGGGAGCGGTCGCCTCTCATGCAGGGCAGGTGCGGGGGGGGGGGGGGGGGGAGGGGGGAGGGTCCTTCTGGAGAGAATGACTCCGGTGCTCTGGTCTCCTGTCCCGTGCCCTGCAGGGCCCCCGGTGGGGTGGGTGCCGCGGGCCTCTGCAGCTGCTCATGGCATCTTTGTGTGGAGCGAGGTGGCCGGACCCAAGCAGGTGGTGGGAGGGCGGGTGGCCGGAGACCTCAGGCCGGTGGTCATCCTCCCTAAAGGGCCCCGAGGGGTGGGAGGCGAGTGATGCTAGATCTTTTTTTGATTTTGTTTTTTTCCCCAAGGGAAGCCAGATCTAGGGAACATTTTCCTAATTTCAAAAAACTCGGGCAACTATCGGCTTGAATTGCTGATGACTTAGTGCTGATACTCGGCCTTCTGGAGCTCTAAAAGGTGGCTCTTTCACACACTCCACCTTGAAGCGCAAAGTTCTGCAAAAGGAAGCGTGCAGGTAGCATGAGCTCAAGCCGTGTGCAGGAGTGCACCCCCGCAGGGTGTTTCTTCCTCTCCTGCTGTCCCCCCTTCTCCGGGGCCCTGACACTCACTGACCTCTTGGGCCTTCTCTCCATTCACTGACGTCTTTAGAACTTTCCCGTCTCTCCTCACCAAGTTCCGCGGCCCTTAGCCAGCCAACAGCTCAAGCTTCCGGAACCTCTTTTTTTTTTTTCTTTTTCCAGAATCTTTTTAACTTGGGCCACCTCCCTGCCTCCCTCCTCTGGAGCCACCACGGCCTCCCAGGGCCACACTCTGTTTTTGCTTCGCTGAGACGGCCACCTGGTCTCCCTGGTGCCTCAGTTTCCTCAAATGCCCTCTGCCCTGCAGAACCCCGACCCCCAGTCAGTGCCCCAGCATCCCCAGTCAGTGCCCCAGCACACTTTTTTGCTGCTACACCGGCTGGCGGGGTGCTGGTCTTGAACCTCTGTGATCTGGGCACCACCCGTCACGTGACCCTAAGCCTTGGTTGGATCCCACTTTTATTCCCTCAATCATCTTCGTGCCCCTCTGGCTCCTGCACTTGCCTTGTGCTTTGCTGCAAAACTTGAGGTCGGCACATGCAGGCGGCCTGGTACCCTCAGGGTGTCAAGTCCGCGTCCAGATCTGAGGACCAGGGTCATTCCGCCTCCAACCCCACCTCCTCCATCTTCGGCTCTCCTCTTTCCATTGGTCTTTTTCTTTGGTTGTAAGTATACCAAGGGTCTTTCATTAAAAGAAAAAGGGGAAAAGATAAAAAATAAAAGAAAAAGGGGAGAAAGAAGCAAACCCACACCTGCGTGGCCACCACGTCTTGCTGGTGTGCTCACCTCCTCCCATCGCCACACCTGGTTGGCACTGCCTTGCTCACCTGCGCCCCTTCAGGCTCAGCTCTCTGTCCCCCCTCACGGGACCAAGCCAGCTCTTGCACAGGACCCTGGTGACGCCCTGGCCCCGCTGGTGTTTGCCAGGCCTGGTCTCACCATCCCATAGGTAGAGTCCACCCTCTTCAAAATGCTGCACTCCCTGAGTTTTGTGGAGACTCTGTACACTTGGTTCTCCTCCTTCGGTGTCTTTTTTTTTTTTTCTTCTTATTCTTGAGACACAGAGAGAGGGAGAGACACAGGCAGAGGGAGAAGCAGGGAGGCCAGGCCCGGGGAGCCGATGCGGGACTCGATCCCGGGACCCCCGGATCACGCCCCGGGCTGAAGGCAGGTGCTCAACCGCTGAGCCACCCAGTGTCCCTTCGGTGTCTTTTTATGCAAGTGATGCAAGCGCGTATTTAGAAAAAACCCAAACCGGAGCAAACACTAGTCATACAAAGTCACAGCCTCCTGCCCTGCTTCCACGGCCTGGGGACTCTCGCTCTTCAGCGTGGCCTCTGGTAAGGTAGGAAGCGCCCGGCGGGGCTCCCAGAGTGGGGGGACAAGAGCTAGGGGCAGGGCCTGGGTCATTTTCACTTTAGAAGGGGAAGCGGCGGCAGTTGGCGCGGTGGGCTGTTGGGGGCCAGGCTGCAGGACACCCTGGACGTGGCCTTTGGGAGGAGAATTGGGGACTTGCGTCAGGCCCGGGGAGGGGGGGCCCGAGAGGAGGGATGAAGCCAAAATGGGAGAACAGAGGAGCTGCGATGGAGAGTCGGAGGGACCCGCGCATCCTGGACACCCCGAGCGGGCCCGGGGGCGAGAGCAGCCCTGGCGTGGGGCGCGGGGTGGGGGGGCCGTGGGGGGCGAGGGGCCGCGTGTGGAGCCCCGCGGGCCTGCTGTGTTCCCTCCTGCGTTTTCCAAACCTCCCAAGGCAGCAGCTGAGGTCCCGGGGTGACCTTTCACGGACGGATCTCGGTTTCCAGCTTCTCTTGAAAATCCTGACCCGTTAGCGGTTCTGGGCCCGCGTTCCCCCCGCAGCCGGGCGTGGCGGGGGCCCGGCGGCTCAGTTCTCCGGCCCCCTGGGCCCCCCTGGGCCCCCCTGGGCCCGCCAGCCTCCCTTACGTTCCGGCCCGGGGAGGCCAGGCCCGGGAGCCCCCAGTAGAGCTGCAGCCGAGGAGCGCGGGGGCCGGGGTGCGCCAGATCCCCGACGCCGCAGAGAAGGAGCCGGCGGCCCCCAGCGGCTTCGGGCCGGGAGGTCCGCGCGGTCGGGACGCGGCCACCCCGGGCGGGGGGACGGGGACAGGCGCAGCTGGGGCTACGTCAACACCCCAGAGCTCTGGTGGAGACCGGAGGGAGAGCGTGAGGGCAGCGCGTCCTGGAGCAGCCCGGAGATTAGGGTCTAGAAGGCCCGGGGAGCCCGTCTCCCGGCCCTGGGAGGGATGGGACACCCCGGGGCACTGAAGGGAACTTCGGACTTCAGGCTGGGCGCCCCCGTTCTGGGCCCCAGGAGGGCTGGCCAGGGAGTCCCCCGGGACCAGTGCCTGGCTTCGTCCTGCCGTTGCTGGTCACCCTTTTCCTTACCACGCACCCCTGACGGCTGGCACCCCGGCCTGTGCTGCAGAGGTGCGTCCCTCATCCCACCCAGTAACCCCAGGTGTCTGCGTGGCACCTTCCTCCCCGATTTCTTCCAGACCTTAGCTCAAATGTCACCCTGGCACCGGGGCCTTCTCCGTCATCCTATTGAAAGCTCACACGCTCAGTTATATACTTCGTCAGCCTTACGTTCCCCCACAGCGCTTGTCTCCACTGGAGATACCGCTTACCTGTGGTCACCCGTCCCCCGTGACCCCCCTCCCTGGCATAGAGGCTCCTTGAGCCCGGGGACTTCCCTGGTGCGTGGCGGATCTCCAGCCCCCAAACCGTGGGACATGTGGCAGGCCAGCAGTGTCGCTGTGCTGATGTGGGACTCAATCCTGGGTCTCCAGGATCACACCTTGGGCTGAAGGCAGATGCTCACCCGCGGAGCCACCCGGGCGTCCCTTCTTTCTGGCTCATAGACAGCAGGAAGGATTTTCTATCAATCCAAGACTCTGGTCACTGGTGAAGGGGCTCAGAACGACTCTCTAGTATAAACCTGTCACTCGTGGGGCCCCCTGGGTGACTCAGTCAGTTAAATGTCTGTCTTCGGCTCAGGTCATGATTCCAGGGTCCTGGGATCGAGCCTGGCATCGGGCTCCCTGCTCAGAGGAGAGTCGGTCTCTCCCTCTCCCCCTGCTCGTGCTCTCCTGCCCCTCAAATAAATGAAATCTTCATTAAAAAGGTCCTTACTGTTTTTAAAGAGTACTTATGTATTTATTGGGAGAGAGCGTGTGCTTGAGGGTGCATGCGAGCAGGGGGAGGGGCAGAGGGAGGGAGAGACGCTCAAGCAGGCTCTGAGCTGAGCAGGGAGCCCGACGTGGGGCTCGATCTCCCCACCCTGAGATCACAACCAAGAGTCAGATGCTGAGCCGACTGAGCCACCCAGGCGTCCTGCGTGTCGTTGGTATTTTGATGCCAAGGGCGGTGCCGGGGACTCTGCTTACCTCTTTGAATCTCAAAGAGCAGCAGACACAAACCCAGGACACCCTCGTGGTTCCCAGTTAGTTTGTACCTGAGCGATGGAGGCCTTGGGAAGCTCGTTGGCCCCAGGTGAGGCAGCCTTAGGTCGGGGGGGGGCTGACCTCTCCTGCTTCTCTCCCGTAGGCATTTGCATCAAGTGCGGGCTTGGCATCTACGGAGCGAGGCAGGCCTGCCAGGCCATGGGGAGCCTCTATCACACGGATTGCTTCACCTGTGACTCCTGTGGTAGGTGACCTCTTCCTCGGCCCTCTGGCACCTAAGTGCCAAGCACCTGCCACCAGCTCTGGCCCAGGTGGAGTGTGGAGGCGGCTGAGTTGTGGCCCCTCTCCTTCTGGGCCTGGCCTGCTTGGGAGGCCCAGGCCCCCGGGGAGATCCGCTGGGCCCTGGGGAGGGAAGTGTGGAACCGGGCGGGGAGCCCTGTGCCACCAGAGGGAAAGGCTGCCCCTCGGGCCCTTGGCCTTGGGGCCCCATGTCTCCTGGCTGCCTGGGTGGGGCGCGTGTGCTAGAACTGTGCTTCCTGCCTGGGTGTGGGGCTGCTATTTCTTTTCCCTGCAGTTTACTTATTTTTTTTTCTCCCAAGTATCAACTATAAATGTTATAATTTAACCTAGACGAAATTCTACAAAGAAAAAAGTAGCTATTATCCAACCAACCTAATAAATCTTCACTCTTGATTCCACCCCCTTTCCTTCAGGCTTTGCCCCGAAGCAAATATCTTTCGTTTATTGATACTAAGCACTTCAATATTTTATGTTACAGGAGTGTAGTACACGCACAGTGTTAAGTCAGACTGTCCTGAGAAGCTGTTTTTGCCATAGCAGAAACCACTCCTCTTTCCATTTCTGGTCCCATTCCCCAGAGGCAACTGCTTGGTACTTTTTTTTTTTTTTTTTTTTTTTTTTTTTAGCAGTTTCTAGAATCTAGTAGACATCCCTGCATCTGTAACAAGCATACCCTGCTGTCTCTTTTTCTTTTTTAAAAAAGATTTTATTTATTTCTTTATTCAGAGAGTGCGGGTGGGGATGTGCCATTTTCAGACTTATTTTTGCTTTGACAGATGAGGAACAGGTTCTTACACTGCCCACTTCTCTTCCTTCCAGTTTTCTGAGTGTAATTCCATCATAAGTTGTGATCAAGGGACGCCTGGGTAGCTCAGTGGTTGAGCATCTGCCTTCAGCTCAGTCATGATCCCGGGATCCTGGGATCGAGTCCTGTGTCAGGCTCCATGCGAGGAGCCTGCTTCTCCCTCTGCCTGTCTCTGCCTCTCTGTTTCTCTGTGTCTCTCATGAACAAATAAATAAAATCTTTAAAAAAATTAAATTAAATAAATAAGTTGTGATTAAGTCAATAAACCAGGTTTATGTTACTTTGAGTATTTAAAAATTCACTGCAGAGCCAAAAATTATACTGTGATCACATTCTGTAGTTTTTTACGTTTCCTTTTTTTTTTTTCCCCTTTTTTAACCTTTTCTTTCCCTTGTATTGGCTTGTTACATCCTATCTTTGTCCCTCCACCTCCTTCCCCAGGCCCCATTATATAAGGCATCCTACTGAATTTCCATTGGGAGGCCTTCTGGACCCCTGTGGAGTGCCCATTCGGTGCTTTGCCCTGTATCCTCCCTGCATTGAATCCACTCTTTCCTGGAAGCTTTTAGCTGGGGAGAACAGAGATGCTGCTGAGGAGGCTTAAACTCAGAATATTTTTTGGCTCCCTGAACTGGGAACCTAGAGATAAGGGCTGGCTTCAGGTTATGATTGATCTAGTGGCTCAGGCCCTATGAGAAGCTTGGCTCGGTTTCCCTTGGGTTTGGCTTTTGCCTTGGGGCAGCTTCTCTCACGGTGGTGAAATGTCTGAGGCTGCTTGAGACTTCCATTGGCGCCCCGCTGGTCTGGAGGAAGAGGGGACATCTGTTCCGGTCACATTTTTGGAAATTTCTTTTCCAGAAAGCACCTAGCAAATATCTCTTTGTATGTCATTGGCCAGAGCATCTCACACATCCATTCCTGAGCCAGTCTCTTTGGTGGTGGGGGGTGTGATGATTGATTGACTGACTTGCCTGCGTCTCTGAAAAATACCGTAATAAGGGAGGAGGAGTTATCTTTATACTAATCAAGCCCATCGAGGGATAAAGGGGAGTGGATTCAGGTTTCCCTTGAAGGAACCAGGCTGTCTGGGGTAAGGTTGGCTACTGAACACCGTGGAGGAGAAAGAAAGAATCGAAGCTGTGAAGCATTGCCTACGAGATTTTGCTCCCGATACCTAAGAAAGGGCACGTGGGAGGTCAGTGTTCTGAGTTCTGCTCTAAAAAGCCTTTATTCTATGCTCATACATTTTAGTTTGGAATAGATTTCCAAATTTGAAACATTTTTCACTCCGCATTTTTTTAATCTTTTTTTTTAAAGATTTTATTTATTTATTTGAGAGAGAGAGTGAGTGAGAAAGAGCAGAAGAGGGAGCAGGAACAGGAGTGGGGGGGGGGGACAGAAGGAGAGGGAGAAGCAGGCTCCCCGCTGAGCAGGGAGCCCAGACTCGGGGCTTGATCCCAGGACCCTGGGATCATGACCTGAGCCAGAGGCAGCTGCTTAACAGACTGAGCCACTGAGTGTGTGTGTGTGTTTGTGTGTGTGTTTTAAAGATTTTATTTTTAAGGAATCTCTACATCTGACTTGGGGCTTGAACTTACAACCCTGCCTGCGATCAAGAGTCCTACTCGCCAAGGCCTCAGCCAGCCAGGCGCCCCTCACTCAGCATTTTGAGGTCGTAGTTTTACCTTCCAGCGGCCACTGTTGCTGCTACGTTCTGATGCCCTTCTGATTCACGTTTGTGTGTGCGTGATCCGGGTTTTCCTTTGGGGAGCTCTTGGGAGGAGGACTGTCACATTGCACAAGTCCTGGCTACGGTGGCCTCTGGGCAAGGCCGTGTGCTGCCCAGTTCCAGGTGGTGTCACTGACATCGATACAACGGCAGCCGTGCTCTTGAAGTTGGACGATACAGCTTGTATATTTTATTTATGTGTGGTGTAGGCTTTTTACCACTGCGGTTGTCCTGGGCACACACAGAGCCCTGCGAGACTGGAGATTTGCCCCCTCAGTTCTGGGAATTTTTTTTTTTTTTTGTACTAGTTATTTTATTCCCCCTTTTTTTCTCCAGAACCGAATTCACCAGTGTATAATCAAGATAATACATTATGTCCAAGTTGAGTTTATTTGAAGACGACTAGGCTGGATTCACATTAAAAAACTCATTAATGTATATATAGGTGCCTGGCTAGCTCAGTCGGTAGAGTATGTGGCTCTTTTTTTTTTTTTTTCTTTGAGAGAGATTTTATTTATTTGAGAGAGAACGAGAAAGAAAGAGCACAAGTGGGACTCAATCCCAGGACCCAGGGATCATGACCTGAGCCCAAGGCAGATGCTGTTACCCAGGCGTCCCTAAAGTTTCAGGTCTTTTATCAATTTAGGGAAAAATCTTAGCTATTTTATTTTCAAAAATTGCTTCTCTCCCATTCTTTCTATTATTTACTTCTAGAATTCAAATTCGGAGTATTAGACTTTCTCATTCTATTGGGTCTCTTAATCTCTTCCTCTCATATTATCCATTTCTCTGTCTTCCGTTCTGTTTAATTTCCTCAGATCTGTCTTACAGAAACTAGAATCCAGATCACTTATTTTTGTCTTCAGAGGCGTTTTTTCTCTTTAAAGATTGATTGATTGATTGATTGATTGATGATAGACAGAGAGAGAGAGAGAGAGAGAGAGAGAGAAAGAGAGGCAGAGACATAGGCAGAGGGAGAAGCAGGCTCCATGCACCGGGAGCCCGACGTGAGATTCGATCCCGGGTTTCCAGGATCATGCCCTGGGCCAAAGGCAGGCGCCAAACCGTTCAGCTGCGTTTAACTTCCTACTGAACTCTTTCATTGAGTTTATTTTTTAAATTTTTTTATGATAGTCACACAGAGAGAGAGAGAGAGGCAGAGACACAGGCAGAGGGAGAAGCAGGCTCCATGCACCGGGAGCCCGACGAGGGACTCGATCCCGGGTCTCCAGGATCGCGCCCTGGGCCTAAGGCAGGCACTAAACTGCTGCGCCACCCAGGGATCCTCTTTCATTGAGTTTTTCATTGCATTGATTGGATTTCTTTTATTTCTAGAAGTTCTCTTTGGTCCTTTTTTTAAAAAAATTTATTTTTTTTTCTTTGGTCCTTTTTTCAAAATTTGCCTCAACATTTTTGATAGTGTCTTGCTTTTTTTTTTTTTTTTTTTAGGATTTTATTTATTTACTCATGAAAGACACGGGGGGTGGGGGCAGAGACACAGGCAGAGGGAGAAGCAGGCTTCCTGCGGGGAGCCCGATGTGGGACTCGATCCCAGAACTCCAGGATCACGTCCTGAGCCGAAGGCAGATGCTCAACTGCTGAGCCACCCAGGCGTCCGAAAAGATTTTCTTTTTAAGTAATTTCTACACTCAACATGCGGCTCGAACTCCTATCCCTGAGATCAAAACTCACATGCTGTACTGACTAAGCCAGCCAGGCGCTCCTGTACTTTTTTCCCTAGCAGTGGAGTTTCTGGGTCCTGGAGTAACATTTGTGTCACTTTAATATATGCTGCTAAGCAGTTTACCACAGTAGACAAAACAGTGTATTATCCCGCTGGCAATGTATTAGAATTCCAGTTTTTCCTCTTTCCCACCAGCAGGTAGCATCGTCAGTCTTCCACCATTCGAGTGGGGGTGGTGTATTAATGAGATTTTATTTTATTTTATTATTCTTTAAAGATTTTATTTATTCATGAGAGACACACAGAGGCAGAGACACAAGCAGAGAGAGGGAGAAGCAGGCTTCCTGTGGGGAGCCTGAGGCAGGACTTGATCCTGGGACACCAGGATCATGCCCTGGGCCGAAAGCAGGTGCTCAACCGCTGAGCCACCCAGGCACCCATGACACTTTGTCTCATCACATGGTTTTGTAATTTTTGATTGTGGAGGTCAGCCTGTGGGAATTGGGTGAGGTCTGTGTGGAGGGAGATTTCCCTGGGGTGTATTTTTTTTTTAAGATTTTATTTTTTTTAATTTTTATTTATTTATTTTTAAAGATTTTATTCATTTTCATGAGAGACATAGAGAGAGAGAGAGAGAGAGAGAGAGAGAGAGAGAGAGGCAGAGGCACAGGCAGAGGGAGAAGCAGGCTCCATGCAGGGAGCCTGACATGGGACTGGATCCCGAGTCCCCAGGATCACGCCCTGGGCTGAGGGTGGCGCTAAACTGCTGAGCCATTGGGGTTGCCCATAAAGATTTTACTTTTAGTAACCTCTGTACCCAATGTGGGGCTCCAAGTTGCATCCGCGAGATCAAGAGTTGCACGCTCTACCGTCGGAGCCAACCAGGCGCCCCCCATCCATGTATTAGTAACTCGCTCCTTTTTATTGCTGAGTAGGATTTTATTGTATGAACATACCACAGTTTGTGGTACGTTCACACACTGATAGATTGTGCTGTGAACATTCTCGTACAGGTCATCTGTGGACAAATGTTTTCATTTCTCGGGTAAATTCCAAGGAGTGGAATTTCTGGGTCATAGGCTAAGTGTATGTTTAACTTCATAAGAGAGTGCCAAACTTTTCCAAAGGGGGTTGTGCCATTTTCATACTCCCACTAGAAATGTTAGAGTTGGGTTATTCTATGTGTTTGCCAACAAGCGGTATTTTCGTCTCTTTAATTCCCCCATTCTAATGGATGAGAAATGGTATCTCGTGGTTTTAATTGCATTTCCCTGATGACTAATAAGGTTGAGCATCTTTTTTGTCTGCCTCTTGGCCATTTGTATCTTCTTTTATGAAGTCTGTCCGGGTCTTTTGCTCAGCTTTTGAATTGAGAGTTACTTCTCTTTTATTACTTAGTTGTAAGACTATATATATCCTGAGTAGAAGTTTCTTTCAGATGTATGTTTTATGAATATATTCTCATGGTATTTTTTTTTTAAGTAGGCTCCATGCCCAGCATGGAGCCCAGCATGGGGCTTGAACTCACGACCCTGAGATCAAGACCCGAGCTGAGATCAAGAGTCGGACGTTTAACCGACTGAGCCACCCAGGCACCCCTCATAATGTACGTTTGTGTATGGTATGAGGTGAGGAATTGAGTTTCATTTTTGTTCCATATTTCATTTTTTCCCTTCAGTTGTCATAGCACCATATGCTGAAAAGACTTTGCTTTCCAACTTGTGTGTTTATTGAAATATTTATGGGTCTATTTTTGCATTCTGGTCTGTTCCACTGATCTTTGGGTCTTTCCTTACCCAATATTACACTGTCTCGATTACTTGAAGTCTTAAGATAGGCAGTGTAAGTCTTCCAGAATTGTTAATCTTTTGCAAGATTATTTGGCTATTTTGGTTCTTTGTATTTTTATATAAATTTTAGAATTGGAAGGCAGCCCTCAACACAAGGGTTTGAAAGAAGAAAAGAATGAAACAGAATAGAATGGCATGTCGGTTTCCACAAAAAAATAAGAATGCTGGGATCTTAATTTTGTAGCATTGCATGTACAGATCAATTTGGGGAGAATTGATGACAGAACATTTGAAGCCATGAAGATGATGGTCAGGGACTGAGAGGTTTTTTTTTTTTTTTCCCCTACGTGCAAGCTGATGAGTTTGTCTGCCACTGTTCCACCGATGCTGACTGAAGACATGAGTCTCCTGGGGCAGAAGCTCACAGCCCTGCAGGCAGGATGAGCCTCACATTTGAATCCTTGTGCATGCCCTCAAGTCCCATGGGGGTGACGCAGGGGGGGCCAGGCGGGTGCTGCAGAGCAGTGGGTCTCTGTCAAGGCTGGGGAGCCCTGAGCTTAGGGAGCCCTAATGTTTTATAGTGGGCTGCCAGCAACGCTATGTGACCTGTGTTTCTGAGAAGCACATTATCTGTATAAACTGGACAGCAGACAAGCCTGCTTTCGACTTCAGAGGGACATAAGCCATCTTTGTTTTCTAAGCCCTTTGTTCCACAGATGTCCTTGGGGAGGTAGTTCCGAACAAAAGCTGCCGGTCCCCTGTGATGTATGCAGAAGTGTGAGAGACCCAAGGGGGAGCTGGTCTTCCAGCAATGGTAGATTGTTCTACTTACGGAGGTTTTGGGTTTTTTTTTTTTTTAAGATTTTATTCATTCATTCATTCATTCATTCATGAGAGACAGAGGCAGAGACACAGGGAGAAGCAGGCTCCATGCAGGGAGCCCAATGCGGGACTCGATCCCAGGACTCCAGGACCACGCCCTGGGCCAAAGGCAGGCGCTAAACCGCCGAGCCACCCAGGGATCCCCTATTTATGGAGGTCTTTTGAAATTTCTCTCAGCAAAGTTGCGTTTGGCAGAGTGAGGGTCACACATATCTCTTATTAAATTTATCCCTCAGTATTTTGCAGGGTTTTGGGGGAGGCTGTTATAAATGCAGTTTTAAAAATTGTAAGTTTGTTTTCCACTCATTCGTTACAGGATATACAAATATACTTGGTTTCACATTTCACATCCTACAACCCTGCTAAGCTCATTTATTAGTTCCGGTAGGGTTTTTTTCGGGTAGATTTCTTATGATTTTCTATATAACACAATCATATCCTGATGAAAGATAGTCGTACTTTATCCTTTCCAATTTTTTTCCCCTGTCATATTGCACTGTGTAGGGCCTCTAGTCCAATGCTGAATCCTAAGGGGAAGGAAAAGCCTCTAATGTTTCCCCCTAATGTCTGATGTCAGGTCACGGTTTCTCACAGGTGCCCTTTATCAGGGGAGGAGGCTCCCTCCTGTTCCTGGTTAGGCAGGCGCTGTGGTTTTTCTCCTGACTCAGGTGGGCTGCCTCTAACAGCAGGCAGGTCTGCTGGGGCTCTTGTTTTGACAGGAACACCCCTTTTCACGAGGGCCTTAACTGGTGAGAGTTATACTTCTAATGTTCAAAGATTATGACAATTCATTCTGGAACGTCTGCTCTGAGTCCCACTGAAGTGATTTTTTAAAAAACATTTTATTTTTTTAAAATATATTTATTTATTCATGAGAGACACAGAGCAAGAGAGGCAGAGACACAGGCAGAGAGAGAAGCAGGCTCCATGCAGGGAGCCCGACGCGGGACTCGATCCCGGGTCCCCAGGGTCACGCCCTGGCCCGAAGGTGGCGCTAAACCGCCGAGCCACCCAGGCTGCCCCTTAAAAAACATTTTTAAAAATATTTATTTATTTTAGAGAGAGACAGAGACCATGGGCGGGGGGGTGTACAGAGAATCTCAAGCAGACTCTGCTGAGCGCAGAGCCTGATGCGGGGCTTAATCTCATGATCCTGAGATCATGACCTGAGCTGAAACCAAGAGTCAACTGACTGTACCACCCAGGCACCCCTGAAGCAAATTTTTTTTTTTTAAGGTTTATTCATAAGAAACGCAGAGAGAGGCAGAGACAGAGGCAGAGGGAGAAGCAGGCTCCCTGCGGGGAGCCTGATGTGAGACTTGATCCTGGGACTCTGGGATCATGACCTGAGCCAAAGGCAGATGCTCAACCATTGAGGCACCCAGGTGTCCCACAAATGTATTTTTTTTTAAAGACTTTCTCTGACAGAGAGAGAGAAAGTATAACCAGGGGGAGCAGGAGAAGGAGAAGCAGACTCCTCACTGAGCAGGGAGCCCGATGCAGGCAGGACCCTGGGATCATGACCTGAGCTGAAGGAAGACGCTTAACTCACTGAGCAACCCAGTAGCCCCAGCATATGTATTTTTAAAAATTAACCAGAACAGCAGTTTACACATGAAAAGCACTTCTTTATATATTTGCTTTGAGAACCTCTTACAACAATCTGTCAATGGGTTCTGTTTAATTTTAAAAATATATTATTTTTTTTTAAGATTTTATTTATTTATGATAGACAGAGGCAGAGACACAGGCAGAGGGAGAAGCAGGCTCCATGCAGGGAGCCTGACGTGGGACTCGATCCCGGGGCTCCAGGATCGTGCCCTGGGCCAAAGGCAGGCGCTAAACTGCTGAGCCACCCAGGGATCCCGATCCCCTATTTATTATTTTAATAGTAATGACCTACTAATAAAGGGAAATGTTAAAATTTGCCCATAATCTGCTTCTCATCTGTTGGAGAAGATTCCTGAGAAATGGAACCAGGGGCTCCTCGCTGGGTTCCAGTGGCCCAAGGCCCCCTTCTCGGTCCCTGTCCTTGCAGGGAGACGACTTCGAGGGAAGGCGTTCTACAATGTGGGTGACAAAGTCTACTGCCAGGAGGACTTCCTGGTGAGTCGGAGCTGGGCCCTGGCTGGTGCCTTGGGGGGGAGCAGGGGAGGGGGCCCTCCTGCTTCACAGGGAGACCTGGGGCCAGGAGGCAGGTGCTGGCTGGGCAGCGAGTGCCCCTTTGTCATCTAACATTCTGGATCCCTTGTGTCCCGTCAGTACTCCGGGTTCCAGCAAACAGCCGACAAGTGTAGCGTGTGTGGACACCTCATCATGGAGATGGTGAGACCCTCCCCCAGCCTCCTGGAGCCCCTCTGACAAGAGCGGTCTTAGGACCCCCGTCACCTGTTGCAGACCTGCCAAGGGCTCAGAGCCAGAGCCTCTTCGGGGGCTGTGCTGAGCCTTCCGTCTGCACTGACCCTTCAGTGCCTCCCACCTCCAGATCCTGCAGGCCCTTGGGAAGTCCTATCACCCAGGCTGCTTCCGGTGCTCGGTGTGCAACGAGTGCCTGGACGGGGTGCCCTTCACAGTGGACGTGGAGAACAACATCTACTGTGTCAGAGACTATCACACGTGAGTCCCGGCGCCGTGGGGCAGGTGACCCCCGCCGTGTCTCCCGCCTCCCCGGGAAGCGTCTTTCCCCCCTGCCTGTCTGGGTTCTCCATTCCTGGCCTTTCCACCTCCAGCCTCCCCATCAGTCGGTCCTCAGTGGCGGGCGCAGGGCGATCTCTGTCTGGAACCCTCTCTTGGATGATTCAGTGCCAGTCGTCTCTTTCCTCTCCCTGCCTTTGCCTGCACATTCCGTCTTCTTAGTCGGCGGTGGGGGGGACACTCTCCTGGCTGCCCCACCTGCACCTGTCCCTCTACTCCCAGGGGCCGGCCACCTCCCTGGGGTGGGGGCTTGGAGCCTCTGCAGAGTCCTTTCCCCGGCCGGCTGGCGCTGGCGTCCGCGTGAGCAGCCAGTCCTTTCCCCCAGCTGTGGCTCCAGGCCCGGCCCGCTGAGCTCTGGTCCCGTGCGGCTGCCGCGCGTGGGGTTGGTGCCCTGCATGGATCACGAGTACTCAGTGTGGAGCTGGGCTTTGTGGGGGTCTCAGCTAGGGGAGTCCCCCCGCCCCCGGACAATTAGGGGAGAGGGTAAGGAGAACCCGAAGCCATCCCGGAGGAGCTGATGGGGTGGCTATGAATTGGGGAGCCAGATGAAGGGCCCAGAAGGCACTGCAGAGGCTGCCCCCCCTGCAGTGTGTCCACATAAGGAAAGGGATCCTGAGGCTTGGGGCCATGTCGAGGGGCTCCTGTGGGTGGGTGGGTCTGCCTTTCTGCCCTTGGCCTCTGGCCCCTCAGGGGTCACTCCTGGTTTCCTTTATTCCTCCAGGGTTTTTGCACCAAAATGTGCCTCCTGTGCCCGTCCCATCCTCCCTGCACAGGTAGGAACCACTCACGTGGAGATGACCAGGTGCCTGGCCCAGCCTTGCCTGGTTCTGCTCAGGCTGGCCCCAGGCCTTGGGCCCCCGGGGGAGGAGGAGCAGATGCTCCTGCCCCGTATCCCTCAGGGCCGAGGGCTGTGTTGTGCCCATAAGTGCCCGTGTGTCCCAGCAAGAGTTAGAAGTGGTGGCCCTGAGCTCCGTTGCCCATGGACGTAAGGATGGCTCCGCGGGTCTGTTCACCCTGCAGGCTGAGGTGGTGGGGGGAGCAGGCGAGAGAAGGTTGCAGTCTGTGCAGGAGACGTCCTGGGGGGACTCTCGGGCACCGTGCCTTCCACCCACGCTGGCTCTGCCCCACGCTGGTGTGCCTGGGGAGGCAGGACTGGCGGTGGCCCTTCCTGACTGCAAAGAACTGAAAAGAACATGTAGACACACGTAGACACTCACGTGACAGCTCTCACGGATGCGTGTGCGTGCTCCTGGGTGTTGCTGCGGGGGGACGTCCATTCGTGTGCACCTGCCGATGCCCGTTCTGCCCGTGGGAGCACCAGAGGCAGGGTCCACATGGGCACGAATGCGCACCTGCCACAACCAGGCCGTGTTGTGTAGGCGTGTGCACCCCGCACAGGTCGCCCCAAACCCCCGTTTGCTAACTGTGTCTGAACCCCGTCTCTTCCTCCAGGGCTGTGAGACGACCATCCGTGTGGTGTCCATGGACAGAGACTACCACGTGGAGTGTTACCACTGTGAGGTGAGCCTGGACCCCCCCAGAATGCTGGTGGCTGGGCAGCCCCCCTCCGTGTAGACCCCTTTTTAAAAAAAAAAAAAAAGATTTTTATCTGTGAGAGAGCATGAGCAGGGGGGGAGGGAGAGGGAGAAGCAGGCTCTCCACTGAGCAGGGAGCCCCACACGGGACTCGATCCCAGGACCCCAGGATCCCGAGCAGCGCCGAAGGCAGACGTTTAACCAACTGAGCCAGCCAGGTGCCCACACGCAGGTGTCCGCTTCTCTAGGTGTCCTGTGGGCCCAGCTCCCGGCTCTGGTTCTGTCCCGCACTCCCCGCCCGCCCCGGGGAGCCCTCTCCCTTCTCCCCAAGCTATGTCCTCAGCCCACTTCCTATTCGATCAAATATTTACTGAGGGTCTCCAGGGGGTGGGGTGCTGGGGTGGGGATGCTGGAGCCCCCACTCTTGCAGCAGGGATGAGTGCTCTGGCAATGTCTACACAGGTCGTTACCGCAGTCACGGTGACTTGTCCGAGTAGGTGGGAGGCCTTGGAGAATCAGGGAAGGCTCTCAGGAGAGGGGGACGCCCCAGCTAAGACGGTGCAAGGGCGAAGGTGCAGGGCGAAGGTGCGCTGCAGAGTCAGGAGGAGTTGGCAGGAGCTGGGACGTGAGGCTGAGGACTACGCACTGATCCTGGGGGCGGTGGAAAAGGGTGACACGGTGGCAGGGGCACTTTGGGGAGGAGGCTCTTGGCTGTGCGGAGAACGGCGGGGCTGCGGTCCTGGCTCGGGGTGGCTCGCGGGGTTGCGTGCTGGCCAGGTTTGGTCAGTGACCAGACAGGGCAGTTTGGGGGTTAGGAGGTGGCCACGGGGAGCCCTGGAGAAAGTGAGGGTGTGGGGTGGAGCGGAGAGGTGCCCTCATCTGGGGCCCCGGGGACGCCCTAGTCCAGGGGCAGCTACACGGGCTGGAGTTCAGACTCTGGCTGCGGGAGTAGGAATTTGGGAGTCGGGGCACCCATAGGTCTCTCTTCTCTGATACTCTCCCCTAGGTCTCCAGTGGTTTGGCCCCCCCAAATTTTCAACTCAAGGAGACCAGTGGGCCCTCTTTGGGGCCTGGAGAACCTCTTGAGGTGGTCACCTGGGCACTTGTAGGGCTCACCCCGCTGCTCCCCCATCTCCAGGGCCGAAGGGTCCGTGTCGCGTATCTCACACCCAGAGCAGGGGACGTAGGCTGGAGACCCAGGCCTTGCTGCCGCGTGGCTGGAAGCCCGAGGCCCGTGTGGGGGAGGCCAGGGCACGAGGGAGTCCCCCAGGGAAGTCGCAGCGGCAGGAGAGGGGCCCAGCACAGCCCAGCAACGGCGACCTTTGAGGGGTGCTGAGGGGCCATACGGGGAGGCCAGGCCGAGTGAGCACAGGAGAGGTGGGAGAAAAGCCGAGAATAGCATGTCGGGCCTCAGCCCCAGGGAGAAGCGGGAGGGAGGGTCAGTGAGAGCTTCAGTGGCACTCAGGGGACGGCCTGGAAGCAGGTGGCCCTGGTGGGGGCAGGGGGCCCAGCGGGAACTGGGATCCCTGCAGGACGGGGAAGGAGGCGCCCTAGTTCCCCCGTGGCAGTGACAGGGCTTCCTGTCTGCTGTCCTGGGGGCCGTGGGGTCCCCCTGGGGCCTCTGAGCACAAGAGTAGGCGATCAAGGCAGGCTTCAGGGGTGGGGCGCCAGGGCCGGGGAGACCCTTGTCCCCAGGCCTCCCTGGTGTGTGGTGGTTAGCGGCAGGGCCCAGTGCCAGCAGGACAGGTGTTGGGGTCAGGGTCAAAGCAGGTTAGCCCTGGGTGTGGTGGGAGTGTGACCAGAGGGGTCTCCTTGGGGCGGGCGCCACGGAGGGGACGGAAGAGGTTGTGCGGGGGGGCCTTGCCCTCCATGACCCTTGTGTGTGTGGGGGGGGAGCGAGGCAGGAGGGGACCCCTGTGTGTGTGGGGGGAGGCAGGAGGGGACCCCTGGGGGGCAGGAGGCACTTCCCGGTTGTCACTGTCCTGCTCTCAGTGGCTTTCTGCCGTGGACCCTCCCTCTTGAGACTCTTCGCTGTGCCCTCGGGTCCACCCAGTTTGGGTTTTTTTCTAACTCGGGCCCCATCCCTCCGGCTCAGCTCCGCGCCCCCCCCCGCCCCCCCCCCCCCCCGCCCCAGTCTGGGCGCCTGAGTCCACTTCTCTTTTCTGGTTCTCTGGGCTCCCTGCGCTCCCTGGGAGGCGCTCTTTGTTGCTGTTTTTAATTTCTTTGAGGGCGGGGGGAGAGGGAGGGAGAGAGAGGGAGGGAGAGAGCCCCCGAGCGCGCCTGGGGAGGTGGGGGGTGCGGGGCGCCGGGCAGCCCCGAGCGGCCCCTCCGCGTGGGGTGCGGGCTCATCTCCCCGCCCTGAGGTCGCCCCCCTCCGCGCCGCGGCTCCGGCCCCCCCCCGCCGCCCTCCCTCGGGCGCCCCCGCGCCCCGCTTACCCGGCGGCTGTGCTCTCCCCTAGGACTGCGGGCTGCAGCTGAGCGGGGAGGACGGACGCCGCTGCTACCCCCTGGACGGCCACCTGCTGTGCCGCCGCTGCCACCTGCGGCGCCTGGGCCCGGGGCCCCTGCCCTCGGCGGTGCACGTCACGGAGCTCTGAGCGGGGCGGGGCCGCGCGGGGGCGGGGCCGGGGCGGGGCGGGGCCGGGCGTCCGCCCCACGCGCCCCCCGCGCCCCCCGCGCCCCCCGCCCGGCCGAGGGGCCGGCCCCCGCGAAGCTGCTGCTATTTATTCACCGTCTGTGCCTGCCGGCCGCCCTGCCCTCCTCCTCCCTCCCTCCTCCTCCCTCCCCCCCCCGCCTGCCGTTCCCGGGTCCCCCGCGCCCCGCCGCCTGGGGCGGGCACCCAGACCGCGTGCAGGGGCGCGGCGTGCGGGGCCGGCCCCCTCCGTGCCCCGGAGCCCCTCGGGGCAGGGCTGGCCCAGCAGGCGGGGGCCTGGCCGAGGGCCCGAGGGCGCGCGCGTTCCGGCCCGTGGGGGTCCGGGGCGGGTGGGGGTCCCCGGGCGGGTGGGGCCCCCTTGGGGCGGGGCCGCGGAGGAGCCCCGCCCTCGGCCGCCGCGGGGGGGGCCCCGGGGTTCCGCGGTGTTTGCAGGCGCCGCCCCGCCCGCGGGACCCGACCCTGGGCCCCCCGCAGCCCTGGGCGGGAACTCGCGCGACTGCAGCCGCAGGGCTCGGTGGACAGCGGCCGCGAGGGGGCGCCCGGCTACTCGACAAAAAGTGTATGATTTGACTTAAATTAAGTTTTTCCTTTGAGAATATTTTCATTTTCTTTAAAAGAATATAGTTTTCTTCTAAAAAAAGCAAACTTGGCCCCCGGTTCTTATTTCTTAGAAAAATTACAAGAAACTCACAGGTGTCCCCTTTGGAGGTCGCATAGCTCGGTTTCAGGGGGTAAAAAAAAAAAATTGTGTTTTTAAACTATTTTTGTATGAATCCCTCTGAAATCCCAAAGTAGGTGTTTGCTTGCCAGTCTTCGGAATAATGTGGGGTTTTGTTTGTGGGGGTGTCTGAAGGGCAGTGGCCTAATGGGATGTGGTTTGGGGAAACTAGGAGAATTCCCTTTCTCTGAAAGGCGCATCAGGGTTGGGAAGCGGGGACTTGCGGGGGGGGGGGGGGGCGGGGTGGTGGCCCTGGGGGGGTCCCTGCGGCCAGAGGCGTCTCTGGATATTTGGACTTAAGTCCCTTTGTGCCTGGACCCCCCCATCCCCGGCCCCCCCCCACCCCTCACCCCCCCACCCCAGCTCCTGGCCTTGCCCTCCCCTAGTAGGTGCGGTCTCTGCCGGTAGGGTCGGGGCCAGTAGGTCATGGCCAGGGAAGCAAGGCTGTGGGACTCGGATCAGGCCCTGGGGCGGCAGTAGGGTGCCACAGTGGGTGCCGCCAGGGCCCAGCTGGGAGGCCCCCTGGAGGACTGAAGAAACACCTCCACGGGTCGTTGGGTGTTGGGCAACCAAGTATCTAAAGGCAGAGGCTGCCCTGGGATGGGAAAGCTGTTTTCCGAGAAGGGGACTGACCTGGGCAATATCAGGGAGGCTTCTCGGAGGAGGCGATCCCAGCGAGAACTGTTGGGGCAGGGAGGGGGGCTGGTTCTGGCTCTCGCTTACTCTTGAGCCCACTGCTCTGCTCTCTAGCCGGGGCCTCCCAGGCTTCCCCCTTTTTCGCCTCTGATGTCCAGGCGGCTTTGGCCTTGGTCTCTCCTGGCTGCACACTCAGCCCTCCTCCTTTCTCTCCCTTCGTGGGGGCCCTGGAGGCACGCTTGTCCTTGTCCGCACTGCCCACGGGCTACCATGCTTCCCTCGGCGGGGGGCCTGAGTCCTCCCAGCCGAGCCCACCCCAGTTGGTGTGCCACGCCTGGTTGGAAGTCGCAGCAAGGGAGCGCGTGACCCTGGGTGGGGGGCAGTGGCCTCATCTCTGGCCACAGTGGCCTCTTTTCTCCAGTTACTACACGTCGCTGAAAACCCAGAATTTTGGGCCATGCTCTCCACGCTCCTTTGCCAAAAGCAGCATCTTCCAGGCCACTTTCAGGAGTTAGTGCTGCCCCGACGGTTGTTGAGACCGAGGGAGCCGTGGGAGAGCTGGACTCTGAGCCGGGTAGATTGCCCATGACCCCCCCCCCGGGGGTGCCCACCTGCACCCACCTGCCCCTAGGCTGCCTCCCCTGATGTTGGCGCCTGGTGACACTAGCTGCGCCTTTGTCACTGCTGTACTTCTGTGTATCCCGTTTGTGTCTGTCCTCTCACTGGACGGTGAGCCCTCCAGGCCAGGGTGTGTCTGCGCGGTTCACTTCTGTGTCTCCGCTGCCCGAGCCGCACCTGCCCTGGCTTTCTGGGTCGCAGCTCAGGACTCCACCACTGCCTTGCTTTGCACGTTCACGCGCAGCCTTAGCTGCCCAGTGGAGGAGCCACGGGTGGAAGGAATACGAAGACCCAGGAATAGGAGCTGAACACAAATGCTATACACTGTGCACATCAGGTGTGTGCGGGTGTGTCCCAGGCAGTACACTCCCAGCTGTGCCTCTGTGCCAGGGCCGCCGTTCAGTACTCCTGCCTCAAGGCCCAGACATTTGAGTGCTGGGTCCCCTGCTCTGTGTGTGTGTGTCCGGGATGGTGGGCTCTTGGAGGGTTCTGGGAGTGGCTCAAGGGCGTGGGGTGTCTTCATGGTCCTGGGGTTGCAGGGGACAGTGCTGACCCCTCCTGGTCAGTGCTTCCTGTCACTCTCTGGCCAGGAAACACAGATGAGCACCCGCTGAGCTGCAGATGAACTTGGGTGCCTTTGGTGGCCTTGCTCGGGAGGATCTAGAAGGGGTGGGCAGCCGGGGCAGTGTTTACCGGCCCTGGGAGGGGCTGGGCGTGGAAACCCACAGAAGCCGTGTGGGCCCAGGAGTGACTTAGGGTCCGTGGGCCAGTCTGTGGTGGTAACAGGGTGAAGCAGTGGCGAGTGGGGCTGTGCTCGCCACCAGCTCTCTCACCTCACCCCCCTCTCGCCTCTGGTTAGCAGCTGTTTCCTGCAGCTCTGGGGGTAGGAGTGGCCTCGGCCTGCAGGGACTCCTGGAGGGCTGTGGGTTGGGATCTGAGGCCAAGTCTGCGAGTGGGGGCAGCGCCTAGGTTTGCTGGTGACCTTCCACCCAGGGCAGCTCTGGGGGACCTGGCCCTGCATGCTGCGTGGTCTCTCTGCACCCTGAGTGGGTGTGGTGGGTCCCCCGACTGGGGGAGGAGTGCATGCCCTGAGGACAGGGCGACTGCTTGGAGGAGGCCTGGGTGGGGGGGCTCACAGAGGGAGGGGCCCATGTGGCCTGGGTGGAGGTGGGGAGGCTCCCAGGAGGGATTCTGTGTGACAGTGTCTCCTGGGATAGCAGGACCATTCTGAGGCTGTAGGCACTCACCCAGTGCTTGGTTCCTGGAGACACAGCTGGGGAAGTGTGTGGGGTCCCAGGGAACCTGGAAAACCCAAGAGGGATACAGCTGGAGCGGCAAGGTGCCTTCTCCCCTTCCATCTTTTTTTCTCTGGCCCTGACAGCACTGCTGGGCTGCCCTCCCTAAGCCTGGGCGGGGGGGTGTTACAGGTTGACCCTTTCCTTTCCTGCAGAGGACAGCCTTGGGAGGTGCCATGGGGACTGGGAGGAGAGAGGTGGCCCATGCTGTCGTGTATGGGGGTCAGGGGCCACTCGTGGGTGAGGTCCTAGGGGAAGACTGCAGGAGCCCTGGGTGGGAGTGGGGGGGGGTCTCACCACTAGGGGTCAGGGGGGAAGGATTGCATTTAGCTGTGAGGTGGGCCCACCTTTTCTCCCTGTCCCCTTCTTTTTCCTTTTTTCTCTTTTTTATTTATTTATTTTCAAAGATCTTCTATTTAAGTAATCTCGACACCCAACGTGGGGCTCGAACTCATGACCCCGAGATCAAGAGTTGCATGCTCTCCTGGCTGAGCCAGCCAGGCACCCCTCTCCTCCTCCTCCTCCTCCCCCTCCTCCCCCTCCTCCTCCCCTTCCTCCTTCTTCTTTAAGTATTTAAAAACTGTCGTATTTGGTCTGATTGGGGAAACAAAGAATAACTCACTGGCTTTCGGACTGAGCACCTGAGTGGATGTGTCTTACCCCTTCCTTGGAGGGGAAGCATGTGGTAGAAACAGGTTCTGTGTGGGAGTGTAAGTTGAAAATTCCACTTTGCCACATGGAGGCAGAAGACAGATGCCACTGTGTATGTGGCACAGGCCATTGGGTATTTTAAGTGTGGAGCTCAGGGAGGAAGTCAGAGCTGTAGATACGATACAGAGGTGTTCGAAATCATGGCTGAGATCACAGGGAAGGAGGGTGAGACAGAAAAGGGAATGGGCCCCACATCTAACTCAGCAAGGGGGATGGAGCAGGGGTGGCTAGTGGGGCGGGCTGGCAGGGTGGGGAGGGTGGACAGGTGGCATCGGAGAAGCCTTGCAGAAAAAGGGCAGGGCCTGCAGCGGGGGTTTGGGAAAGATGGAGATCACCGTGACCTGAGTAAAGCTGTTGCGGGGCAGCAATGGGGCAAAAGCTCCCTGCCCATGTCTGTGAGAGCATGTACGCCCCACATGGGCATTCCCAGGGTTGAGTTGGTTGAGTGGGTCAGTGAGGCTCTGAGAGCACTAACAGGTGCCTAACAAATGCTCAGGAAAAGCGAGTTACTATTGTCTGGTGGATGGGGAAGTAGCCGAGACTCCGTGGCAGCCCTTCTGGAGGCCCTGGTGCCCCTATGTAGACTGGGGTGGTGGTTCCAGGTCCCAAAGGATAGAGGCGTTGGAGATGCCCGGCAGCACCTGCAGGCCAGCTTCGGGAGTCCGTGCTGAAACTGACTGCACCACCACCCAGGAGCTCCCAGCTCCGTTACTTGCCCCAGCCTGGGGGAGACCCTGAAGGAGGGGGCTGACTCCGGGAGGAGTCATTTTTTGAACCTCACCGGGACAGCTAGCCCCGCAGATTCATCCTCCAGCCACTATGGTGCAAACTGAGGGCGCCAACAGCTTTGTGCTAAATGGGGAAGCATCCAGTGGTGGCACCGTGAATGGGAGCCGAGGACTGTCACTGGGGGGCTTTTTGACCTCCTGTCTGGCCAGAGAGATGTGGATCGCCACCGGGTGAGGAATGCCCAGATTCCAGTGCCACTGGAAGATGAGCGTTAGGACT